AGAAGCTTTTGAGCCGTCCACGAGCAGTTGTTCGACGCCTTCGGGAGAGCGCAGCACGAGGTCGAAAAATTCACTCCCGTTCTGAAAGCGCGACGCCGTGGCCGTCACGTCGACGACGAGCGAAGCCACCATGCATGACGCGACATCGACCACCTGACTGCCGTCCACGGAACGACCGCGTGCCGAAACGGTGATTGTCGAGATCGGCAGCTCCGTGCCAGCGGGTGTGAAGCCTGCGGGCGGCGGCAGAGACGGCTGTGCTTTGCAGGGCCGGCGTCGACGTCGTTCCGAGCGCGTAACATCCCGCGAGAAACATCCGCATCCATGCGTGGTTGGCGTGACTGGCCGAAAACACAGCATCTCACCAGCCGGCTCGGTGGACTCCTCGAGCCTGCGCGTGTACTTGTAGATCGTGGTCCTCTTGCGGGCACCCTGCGTCTTCAGAGGAGACACGGGACTGGGCTACCTGTGCATCGGAAGACTACAGCAAGGCCTGGAAAGCTGGACGGAGTCGGCTCCTCGTGTCTCTGTCATGCGTGTCGACGAGGACAACCTACTGAGGGGGCGAAAGGAGGGGATGGTCAGGCCCGTTTCGCGAGCCATAGAAACATTCTAAATGCGGCCTTCTGTCGCTCGGATGGCCTGAGGGAACTCGTTCAAGAGGCCCGTCTAAGACGAGGTCAAAGGTCGCTGCAAAGGTTGCCGCTTGCATGACGAACGTGCATTGCGCCGTTCAAACGATGTCGCTGATGGCATGGCATTCTATGTGCAATGTCATTCGCGCTCTGAGCAGAGAGTGCCGATGAGCACGAATCGCGGATCACTCGATAGATGAGGGCGTTGACCACCACAGAAGTCCGCTTGCAATCGCAAGGTACGGTGCTTCTGACTGCCCTAACAGACCGACACGCGCCAAGGGCGAAGTGAGGCGCACCTGAACCGGGGAGAAGTCACTATTTCCGTTCGCAGCCGCCCCGAGGGGGCTCGTAATGATGAGAAGGATTGCTAGACTCCACACAACCCTGCCAAGCGCACTCATCTCGCTGGCCATCGGTCCGCATGGGCGAAGTTTGCAGTCCATAGTGCAGCGGTGGTCGACAGGCAAGTCGGTCGGGTCAGACTAGCACGGAAGCCGAGGGAGTTGCGAAGCGCTGCGCTTGCAGTGCAACTGTGCCTAGAACTGCTGCATCAGAGATATCAAAGCATTGAAACAAAAGTAGTGCAATCTTGGATGTATGTCGATCCCGGTCGCGGGCAAGACACCTCGAATTCACGCGAGGACCGTGCAGGCAACCTGCCGGGTCTCACATCAGGAAACGCCCCCTCGCGAGTATTTGGCGGCGACCAGAGACGCTTGGTCCAGCTGATGATGTACTTCTTCGTATGAAAATCCAACCGCGACCACGAATCGGTCGCTCACCAAACATGTTGCGTGGGCAGGCGCTCCCTTGCGTGGCGTTCACGGCCTGTTGGCTGCGCCGTCGCGCCGCCCTTTCCAGAGCTGCGCTGTCCCATCAAGGCCATGGGCCCATGCATGGGATCATCACGCCGCTGACGCGATTCGGTGAACAGTCGGCTGATTTCATGACCGTCACCAGCGGCGTAACCCTCTATCCAGACCAAGTGCCACTGGCGCGAGCTTGATCAACTGCGGCAAGCACAAACTTGAGCTGGAACACCTTGCGATGCTGCTGGTGAGCCCGCAGCGGACGCCCCGAGCATGGCGACGGCGTGAGCACCATGCGGAGACGGCTCTTGCTGCGGGCGACTTGCAACGAGTGCCGGTGTGAGCGCAAGTTCGCTGAGCCGATGACGTGCACCGACCGACCAGCATGTCGGGCGTGCGCGTGGGCATGCGAGTCAGGTCGCGACGTGCACCGGATGCACGAAATTTACGAACTGGTGCAGTGACAGCCAGGTCGGTCGGGCGCGTCTGGCGCCGCCAGGCGGGCCGCGGAAGGGCTGCGGCCACAATGCTGCCCGACGCAGCGGTGCCTCACCACACGTTGCCGGTGTGCGGGCGTCCGCAACGCAGTGAGACCTTCCGTTCGCGCGCACGACCGATATCGCGTTGCCGCGGGTGCGTGCGATGAAGGGCTGGGCCGTGTCGCCGCTGTACTGCCCCGACGAGGTCGGACGGACCGCTGGCGGGAAGGGCGTGGCCGAGTCATGGCGGGACGTCGACGACAAGGAGAACTACAACCCGAACACGGTGCGTGGGGACCTGCAGCTCGAAACAAGGCCTTGTCCCCTGGGATGAGGGGCCTGAACATTGCGTGCTGTCGGCATCTGGGATCATCATGTCTGTCGCGTCCTGCTTGTGCCGGGAAAAATCGATTCCTGCGCTGAGGCGTCGAGTACGGCCGTGGTTTGGGGCACCACTGGCGCTGAGCAGTGCGTGGCCCGTTGCGCGATCTCAAGGGCGAGACGAGGGCGCGCTTGCAACGCGATCGCGTCCTTCTGATAACGCGTACGCGTTTCTGTCTTCTGACGGTGCTGAGACGCGCTCGAGGGCCGCGCACGTCGCGCCCGGTGCGGGGGGCAACAACAGCGCCCTGGCGAGCGGGCCTCCGTGCACCGTCCAACCCTTTCGCACGCCGCATGCTGGCCGCCGCAGGGTGGGATAGCACACAACGAATGGATTACGCGGCGAGCGGCGGGGCAGCACCTCGGCCAGACCCCGCCGCCCTCGACTGATGCCTCCGCCACCCCCGCTGCGCCCACCTCCACGCCTTCGACCGCCGCGAGAGCCACGCCGGCGACGCCAGCGGACCAGCCCCAGCGCAGGCCTCTCCGGAACCTCACGCCGACGTACCTCGCGCGGCTGTTGTCGCACGCTGCGACGCAACACCACCACGCGGACGCCAACGCCAGCAACCTCACCGGGCTCGTGGTGATGAAGCGGCACGCCAAGCAGACGTACGTGGCCTCCAGCCACGCATCTACTGCAGCGGCCACAGTGCACCACGCGCCCCGGCAGGTGCCTCGGGAGGACACGAAGGATGCCAGCAGTCTACAGGTGCGTGGCGCGACGCAACGGCGCCGGCGTGCCTGCCGCTGCGCGTGCTCGCGAGAGCATACGATGCAGCTCTGTTCGGCGCGCCGGAGAGCGCGGGGAGGGTGCTTGGCGCCCGCGTTGCTGCACTGACGGTGACGCATTGCGTGGGCGCTGCAGGGCACGGACGGGGCGGCGGCGGCGGCGCCGAAGCGGAAGCCGAGGCGCGCATTCGGTGGCGGCGGGCTGCGGTCGCTGCGTTGACAGATGCGGGGCGTTGACAGGCGAGGGACTGGCCGTTCGCGCCGCGTGTTGTCTCGGGTTGCGACGAGCAGGCATTCCTGCGCGGACCACGGGCGCCGCTGTCCCGCCGTGTGACGCGATGTGTGGGCGCGCTGCTCAGTGGCCCGGGGTCGCACAGTGAGAGTTGGGCGGGATGCCGTAGACGTCGGTGTGGCGCGCTCGTGCGGGCCCTGTGCTCGAGTGCGAGACCTGTGCTCAGCGATCGTGGCGAGCTCTGAGTCGTGGAACGTGCGTGGGGCCTCTTTGCACGGGGTTCGGGTCACAGGCCCGACGCAGCGGGGCGGCGACCAGGCCCGAAGGTGCTGCTTGTGGCCATGCCGTTCGCCGTGGCTTCCCAGAGCGATCCTGTTATGCTTGGACGATCGAATATGGGCGATGTCGACCTGCGAGGAACGGAGCGGGGCCGCCAGGCGCGCGTTTCGGCCAGGGAGCCCAGGATGAGGCTGGTGTCCACAAGGCGCAGCGGGGGCGCGTCGGGCTCGAAAAGGGCCTGACGCGAGCGCCATTGGCGGCCGAGGTACTGGAGAGCGCAATGGTCGACGGCATCGAGCGTGAGCTGGCGCGGGGCGCACGGCGGCGCCCCGTGGTGCCTGCTGGCGCTGCAGCCAGCCCCGCGAGAGGGGCGGCTCGGGCCGATGGGGGCCGCGCGTTCGGCTCGACGGACACCGCCGAGTTCGTGGGTGGCAGACGACTGCTTGCACGTGGCCGGCGCGCCGCGACGCGGTCCCGGCGGTGCCTCACCTCTCCTGCGGTGCCCGCAGGCGTGGCTCGCTCTCCGCGCCGCGTGGGCCACGCAGCTCGTTCAGCACTTCATGACGTTCCACCGGAGGAGCTGGCCCTGGGACTCCACGTCCGGGGTGGCGAGCATCTTCTGGATGGCCACCGCGGCGGCCGGGGAGGCGGCGTAGTTGTACAGCACGAAGGTGCCCTCCCAGTGCCCGTCGATCGGGTACGCGATCCTCTGCCTGCCCTTGACGTTCACGGACACGTCCACGCAGCCCTGCTCCGACATGAAGGACTCCAGCTTGGCCAGCTGCCGGTCGCGCTGCTCGTCCGGGATGTCGGGCCGCACGATGACGAGCGACTCGTAGCGGGTGTACCCGGCCGGGAGGGAGCTGCCCGCCGCGGCGACGCGGGCCTGCACGGACGCGCGGGCGCGGCGCGCGGCCGGGGCGGCGCGGAAGGCCGGGCACGCGCGCGGCCGGGCAGCCACGGCAGGCGTGGTGCGCGCGGGCGCGACCGGCACGGAGACGTTGCTGCACAGAGACGCCATGTTGGATCCAACGCTACTTCGGATAGCCGCTGGCGCGAGGGCGCCCGGAGCAACGTCGCGTCGGCGCGCATCGGCCTGGATAGCCAGGTCGGGCAGGCTGTCTGACGGCCGCTGCGGCGCTGACGGCGGGCGAAGCGCGGGCATTCGGCGCCCCATAGGTCGCATTCTAGACTGCCTAGCGGCCGCGGGGAACCCATGGCTCCTAACCACCGCCAGCCCACGGGCGCGTGATGTTGGTCCTGCGCGTGGCTTTCAATCTCGCCGATGGCGGGCGCGCTCGCGCCAACGCGGGTCCCGGGGACGGCCCGCGGCGAACCGATCTCTGCTGCTCCACGCCAGCGAGCGTCGCCGTCCGACACCCCCCCGACGACGAAGCAAAGATGCACCAGGTCACGTCACATCGGCGCAGTACGACAGGCCCCCGCGCGCTCACTCCGGCTTCGGCTTGTCCTTGTCCTCGATCTCCGCCGCGATGCGCTCGATGTCCTCGAAGCTCACCGTCCCGGACCCGCGCCTGGCTGCTTGCGGGGTGTGTGGCGCGGGCGACCATCCCGTCATGTACATCAGCTGCGCACGAAACACACCGGGGAGCGCCGCGCGTCGGCAAGAAGCAGTCGCGCGAGGGGCGCGCATGTGCGCCCGCGGGCGATCGATCCACCGGGATCGGGTCTCGATGGTGCGCGAAAGCGTTTTGCGAGCGCCGCGCGGACGAGCGCACAGAGGACGCAGCGATGCGTACCTGCAGCGTGGCCTCGATGCTCTCTGGCCGCGAGCCCGGAAAGAGCTCCCGGTACGTGGCCGCCGCCGCAGCCATCTCCGACACCGACAGGTGTCCGGGGTGCGCGGGCGCCGCGTTGGAGGCCCCCAGCCGCCGCAGGTGCGACACCAGCGCGAACGCGTCAGGGTACCCGATCCGGATCTCGTCGAGGTCGCACGTCGACAGCACCAGCCCCGCGCGCCCGAGCAGGTTGCCGCCGTCCCGAATACGCGCCGTCGGAGACACCCGCGCGGACACCCCGCCCCTGCGCTCCAGGTCGACCGTCGACAGCGCGATCCTGAGCTCCTGCAGCGTGTTGCCTCCGGCCATCACGGCGAGGAAGAGCCCGTCGGGCACCAGCGCGCGCCGACATCCCGCCATGGCTTCCGGCAGCTTGTTCACCCACTGCAGGCCCAGCGCCGACACGACGATATCCACGCTGCCGTCCGGCAGCGGCCGCCAGTCCGGCGTGTCCGGCGACGCGCGCGGCCCGCCCACGAGCGTCACCGCTGGCAGCGGCCTGCTCCCCGGGTCCGCGCGGCGCGCGTCGAGCCACCGCTGCGTGCGCTCCAGGGCCGCCGTGGACGGGTCGACCACCACGATCGTCTGGACCTCCGCGCGGCTCCTCGCGAGCGCCTCGATCGTCGTCCGGTGCGGTCCCCCGATCACCGCCGCGCGCGCAAACGTCCGCTTGCAGTCCTCCACCCTGCGGGCGCGACAGCGGGGCCGCACGGTCGGCGGGGGCTCGCCGGCGCCTCGTGCGCGGAGAGCGCGGTCGTCGGCCGGGCCCGCACCTGTCCAACAGCCGCAGCGCCACTTCGCGCTCGAGCCAGTCGTCTGGGTCGTCGCCGGCCTCGTGCGCGGCGCGCTCGCGGTGCGCAACGGCGGCGCTGGCGTCGAAGACGTCCATCGCCGCGGGCACGGACCGCGAGATGTGGCGCCGGGCGCACGCGGGCGAGCCTGCCCAGCGCTGTGCTCCACAGGCCCCGCGGGCGCCGTCCGAGGAAGTCCTGTGCCGCGCGGGCCCGCGAGCCCAGCTATGACGTGCCGTTGTGTGCGTTCGCGCTCGGCCGAACCCATATCGTGGGTCGGACCAACTCGAAAAGTGACGCAAACTGTGCCAGCAGGCACCGGTGGTGGTGGTGGTCTGGGCGTTGCGCTGGATGAGCCCGTGTAGCAGGGCCGTATACCGCACGCATCGCTGCATCCTCGACCGGCGGCGGCCGCCCTGGATCACCGGCCCCGGACGTCGCCCTGCCACGGAGCAGAGCGCCGCTACGCAAGGAACAGGTTCGAGCGAATCCTGCGCAAGGGACGCGACAGACGCGGAGACGGCGGCCCCAGGCGACCAGTTCGAGCAAGACCGTCTTTCCCGGCAGCTCGCGCGCGCCGTGTCTTGCAGCCTGAGAGCAGCTGGGGGCACTCATGCACGAGTCCTCCTGATGGCCCGTGAGACACTGTCTGACAGGCCTGGCGCGCTGTTTCGGTCCGCCGCAACGCGGCCGGTCCAGTGCGCATCGGTGCGGGCGCAGTGGGGATAGACTGCCCTGATCCCACGCCTCGCGTTTCGATAAAGGACAGAGAGGTAGCATTGACTGATTCGGTGCCGCTCGAGAGGCCCGCAGCACAGCACCGCCGGGCCCTCGGGCGACGGCAAAACATAGAATAGGCGGGGCCGCCGCGCATTATGGGTGCAGGATGCCTCGCGTGGGTGAGGTGCGGCGGGAAGGCAGAGCAGGTGGTGCCGAAGGAGCCGAGCGGTGCGTTTCAGCCCGGGATTCCTGCCCTGCGGCCGTTATACTCCTCTGCGCTGAATCGTGGCCGCCTGCGAGGCAACAGGCGCCGCACCGACAGGACGGGCAGGTTTCAGGGGCCACCGTTTTCACCGCATGGGCTTTTTACGAATGCGGGCGGCTGTTCCCGCGCACAGCCGCAAGTGGCGTGTCCCCGACGTCCCTCATCACGGTGTCTCCGCGCAGGCGCGAAGGCGGGCCGCGGGAAGCCGGCGCTGGCGTCAGCGAAGAACGGAGCAGCTGAACAGGAGACGGTGCCTGCAGCGAAGCCGCGGCCGAAGACTGCCCACGTGCACATGCAGAACTCGATGAAGTCGCAGGCGTCGGACCAGTCCGCGGCAGTCCACGTGGCGGGCGGCACTGCCCACGTCGTGGAGGACATCAGAAACAAGTCCATGGCAGCCGCGCGCTCCACCAGGGAGGGCCGCCAGCGCAAGCCCCTGGTGCCGCAGCACGTAGCAGAGAGGATGATGAAGGAGTTCGGCCCGCCGGCGCGGGTCGAGCGCCGGTCGCTCCCGCTCGGCGCGGAGGGCGCTGCGACCCCGCCGCGCCGCGCCACGACCCTCGGGCTTGGAGACAGCAACGGCGGCCTGAGGCCGACGCTGCTCGCGTCGCAGGACCGCACGGGCAGCGTGCGCTCGCGGCTCGGCGCGAAGACGGGGTCGGAGCAGGTGTTGTCGGAGGTGGTCGAGGAGGCCAGCGCCGCCATACGCATGCCCGCCGCGTCCGCCGCCGCCGCGCTCCCCGGCGCGGCCGACCCGGACTAGGCGCAAGTCGCCCGCGGCCCGGACGTCCGCCGCTTCCCCCCACACCGGCCCCTCGCCGCGGAATTCCCGCGACAACATCCTGCCCTTCCTTCTTCCTGTCCGACCGCCGGATCGCGGCGATCGGGCGCGCCGCGTGCGACGCGAGCTTCGCAGGACCACGCGCTGCGTTCGCGGGCGCTAGCGACCGTAGTTGCAGTTCCGCCCAGCATTGGCACACACTGCCTTGGTGTCTAGATTCATTTTTTGCCGCACCCGCGAACCAGCCGGATGTGAGCCGCGCCCTCCCTCGGTGCATCACGGCGCTCGCTGCGCTGTCGCACGCGGCCGCGTGGCGCGTGCGGTCGGTGTCACCGCGCCGCGTGCCAGCTGGCGCCACGTGACAACACACCCCCCCCGCTCAGGACGTCCGAACGCCGCTGCGCACGAGGCCGGCCGCGCGCACCCACGCGCATGAGTTGTCAGGTAGACGATCGACGCTGCCCTCGCCAGGTCCGCCGCTTGCGACGCCGCGCGGCAGTCCCCCTCGTTACCGCGTTTCAAGTGCTGCAGTCCGTCGCGCGTCGTGCCACGATGATGGTCGACCTGGGGGACCTGGCCCTCGAGCTCGTTCACCGCGTCCCAAGCAACGTCATGACACCGGCGTGGACCCTCAGCGCCCAGCGTGACCGGGCCCTGCACCTGATCCGCAGGTCGCGAGAGACGACCGCAGGCCTCGACTCCCTGAAGGAGGTGAGCGTGCCCGCCGAGCTGCCCTCGTGCAAGATCCTCTTCCCGGCTAAGCGTGCGTCATGGCCGCGCGGCCAATATCGCGCACTTGGACCGCAGCGTGTGTGCCACCCATGTCACGGTCGCTCTTTGCGCCTGCAGGCCATCATGATCCTCGAGGGCAGCTTCCTCCCGGCCACATACACGCCGCTCTGGTGGGATGTGCGATCTGCGTGGATGGAGGACCTCGCCACCGCGTGCACGGCGGCGGGCGTTGCCGCCTGCCTCGCTGAGCTGGAAGCCAATGCCCGGGACGGCTGGGACGAGCAGCCCGCGTCCGTGCCGCTGCGCTTCCACTGGCGCCGCGAAATTTTCGACGTCATCCTCCGCGGCCTCGAGAGCGGCGCCGTCGCGGCCGCCGGCCACCGCGAGTGCGAGATCCTCCACCGGCGGCTCTATGCCGGGGCGGGCGCAGCTGGCGGCGAGTCCAGCGGCGCGAACAGCGTCGCCGGCGCCGTCTCGGTGGAGTCGTCGATTGGCACGGCCAGAAACTTCGGCGCGTGGACGCAGCGGGGGGTTGAGCAGCTTGGGCAGCTGCGCTCGTTTCAGGCCGCCGCACATCGCGCCCGCGAGCGCCTCGCTGACGCGCGCGGAGCTGTCCTCACGGTACGCAAGCTCGACGATCGCCTTGTGGGCCCTCGCGTTGCCACGGCGCCCGATCGCACGGTGGTGATCGCACTTCTGTGTGTCTCGGTGGCTGCAGGACGTCGTGGAACAACACTCCCCCCGCGCGCTCCAGGACACGCTCACCATCGACAACAACGATCCGCAGGAGACGATCAATCGCCTCGCCACGGAGGCCAGCGGCGTTCTGCGCGACATGCAGCGCGAGAACGGCGCGGCCTCCACCCTCGGGTCAGAGGCCGTCGCAAGCGCGGCATCGCGCCGCCTGCAGCCGCTGTCAGATCGTCTAGACACCGTACACCGAGCCCTCGCCCACCGCATCGCCGTGCGATCCGTCGCTGCTCAGGGCGTCGCGCACGAGCAGGCAGATGGAACCGCAGCTCTGCCCGGCGCCGTCGCGTTCTCGAGCGACGCCGTGGGCGCCGCGAGGCTGCGTGAGATGCCGAGGGTGGTGTCGGCGCGGCGGTCGTGTTCCGAGGCCGCTGTCAGCGCGTCTGAGCCGGATGAAGACGAAGAGGTGACAACGTCCGGTGGAGAGAGCGAGATGCCGTCGCCGATCGCGCGATGGACCAACGCGACTCGCGGCGCTGTTGCAGCGACGGTGCGGGGCATCCTCGGCCGCGGCAGGCGCAGGCGCGTTCGTCGCGGGAGCCCGCCGCGATCGCCGGCCCCCTCGCACGGAGCGGTCGACAGCGAGCCGCGCACGCCCGTGCCGCTCCCCGCCCGTCCCCTCAGGCCCCTTGCCCTGCCAGGCCGGCGGCCGGGAGCGGCAGCGAGGCCGCGGGGGCGCGGCACGTACCTGCAAGATCTGGTGCGCAGCGGCACCGTCGGTGGCGTGGCGCCTGGTGGATCCGGCACGCAGCTGAGGCGCAGCATCACGGTCTCGCGCTGGCAGAGCACGGGGTCGTGGCCGGGGTCCATGCAGCCGAGTCCCGCGGGAGCGAACACGATCGTTGAGCGGCATGTTGCAACCGACGGTCGGGCAGGAGAAGGCGCGCCGGTCCGCGCTGCCGCACCCGTCCAGCAGGAGGAGTACACGTCGGTCGATGAGGGGGGTGTTTTGTCCCTGACGGAAGCCCTGGCGGACTTGTCGTTTCCCCGCGCGTTCAGCTCGACGTCCTCGGGCCTGTCGTCCGCCCTCTCCTCGCAGCCGTCGCAGGACAGCGTGGGGGATCCCGCGGCATCGCGGCCGCTGCTGCTGCCCGGTCAACCGACGTCTGTGTTGCCCCTCGTCGCAGCGACAGAGGCGCCTGCCCCGACGCGGCGCACAGAGACCGCACCAGGCCCGGGCGCGTTCCGTGTCGTGGGCGGGCAGCCTGCGCTCCCCGGTGCGCTCCACTCGTTCCACTCCGAGCACGACGCGGACCACAACCACCAGCACGCCCCCCGGTGCTGTGTGTGCTGGGCAAGCAAGGTGCGCGCCACAGCGCGGCCAGACGAACGTCGCTGACGCTCTTCTCGTACGCGCGTACTCTCGTATACAAGAACAACGTTCGGGAATGGCTCCGCGTGCAGGTCGAGGTGGCGTTCGCGCCCTGCGGTCACACGTGCGCGTGTCAGGAGTGCGCCGAGGGCCTCGTGCGGGCGAACGGGGGGTCGCAGTACGACTGCCGCTGCCCTGTGTGCAGGAGAGTCATCAGCATGTCGCTCCGCGTGTACTTCTAGCCCCCCGCGCGCCGGCGTCCACCGCTCACGGCTGCCGGTTGATGTGAGCAGTGAACAGGTCGTGCGCCAGCATGTTCTGCAGCGGCTCCCTCTCCAAAAACAAACTCTTCTTCTTCCTCGCTGCCTCCGCTACCGTCTGAGCCGCCGCCGCCTGCGTCGCCCCCGCCCCCGCCGCGGCCGTCTCGCACACGCTCTCCAGCGCACCGGCGATGTCGCGGCGCCCCGCCGCGGACATGCGCAGCGCCCCCGCCGCCGGCAGCGCCGCGAGAGGCAGCGGCATCTCCTCCGGGGGGCTGCTCGCCGCCGGCGGCCCGCTCTGCCGCGTCCTCGGGGTCTTTTTCTTGAACGGGCTCTCGCGCACTCCAGGCTGGTCCGCAGACGACCGCAGCGCCAGGATCGGGTCCGCGAGGAGGTCCGCTGCGGTGCGGGCCTCGTCGTGGGAGCGCCCCGCCATGCTCGCGACGGCCCGCGTGGGCGACAGGTGCGACGCGGGGTCGACGGCGGGCCGCGGGGGCGACGACGTCGGGAGCGGCGCGGGACAGGCGTTCTCCTTGTTCTCCGACCTGGGGCGCGGCGCCGGTCGGAGGCGTCGCTGCCTGCCCGCGCGCGCACGCATGAGGGGGTCGAACCGCGGGCGCGGCGCGGGGGGGGCTTCGCCTTCTGTCGGGTGCTTGGCGTCCGTCCACGTGACGCTGCCCTCGATCTGCGCGAGCTCCCCGCGGGTGTCTGCGCAGACGCAAACGTGTTTCACGACACGAATAAGGCGTTCCCACCCGCAGAGATGGCCCACGTCCGTCGCCCAAGTCCCATTCGGAGCAGCAGCAGGGAGGCAAACATGCGCAGTGTATCTCGCGCGTCAGGTCCATTTTCGTGCAGGTGCGCGAGGTCTCACCTTCGTGCGCGTCCAGGCTCGAGTCGCCCACCTCCGGCAGGCACTCGTACGGGTCCTCGTCGGCGACCGACCGCACGATTTCCGCCGTCACCGCCTCGGCCGCGATGCGCGTCGCCAGCTGCTTGGTCTGCGCGCGGTCCACGCCGCCGCGCCCCCCCTCGCCGGAGTCCCCACGGTCCGACGTCGGCGGCGACAGCATCAGCGCGTCCAGCACGTCGGAGAGGCTGCGGCCCAGCCCCGGCATCGGCGCCACGTACTCCCCCCCCTGCCTCTCGTGCGTCTCGTCCTGCACGTGCGCCACGTGGCGCTCGGCCGACGCGTGCTGGCTGCGCGCAGCCTTCTCCGCGGGCCGCAGCGGCGAGACGTTCGTGCTGTGCACCGGCAGGGGCTCCGGCACCTCCTCCTCCCCGCCACGCAGGAAGGCGTCCCACGCGTAGTCGCTCCACGGCGGCAGGTGCCCGCGCGCCGACGCCTTGCCGCCCGCCACCGGCGCCGCGCCGGCCTCGCCCTTGTCGACGGGTCCGGCCGCGCGCTGCGGGTTGCTGCTTTTTGTCTGTTGCTCCGCGGGCCGCTGAATGGCGCCGAACTCGACGCTGAGGCGCTGGAACGTCTTGCGCGGGTCGTCGAGGGGCCCCGGCGACGCGACCGCGGGCGCGCCGCGCAGCCCGTCGAGCTCCGCGCGCAGCCTGCGTGCCTCCCCGCGCAGGACGTCCGACGAGTCCGTCACGCGCCGCTCGACGACCACGTGGCGCTCCTTCCTGGCCACGGGCAGCGCGCGCACCTCCTGCACGCGCGCACGCGCCGGACCCGGCGTCACAGTCGAGCCATGCGCGCGGCGACGCGATGCTATGCGCGGCGCGAGCGGGGGGGCGCCGGGGGGTGGCGCACCTGGATGTGGAGGTCGAGCGGGCGGGAGGTGGCCAGGGAGATGAGGCCGCGCGCGGGGCACGGCGCCCAGCAGTCCTCCGGGGCCGGCGGCGGGTGGCGCACCGCCCCCGCACGCGTGCGCGACAGCCCCAGGCGGTCGTCGCCGTGGTCCTGCAGGACGCTGCCGTTCCCGACGCAGGCGCGGAACACGAGGACCCCGGGCGCGGAGCTCTCCACCGCGAACAGGCAGCTCGCGGGCACCGTCGAGGAGTCCGCGTCCCGCCCCCCCGGCTCCTGCGCCCGCACCGGCTCAAGCACCCACTCGCGCCGCTGCCCCACGCGCGTCGTCACGCGGAGCGAGTTGCCGTCTGCGTCGAGGAACCGCACGAGGTCGCCCTGCACGGACGGAGACGAGGCGTCAAGGCGCGGCGTGGGCGGCGGTCTCGTGCTGGGGCATCGAAACTAGCACACCGCGCCCCGGGCCGCGCGGGCGCCGCCGCTGCAGCGGGCGCGCGCTGCTGCGCTCTCGATCACGTGGGCAAGCGAGCGGGGCGCCGCGTGTGGGCCTGCGGGGCGCCCACCTCGCGCACGCGCGCAGCTACGTTGAAGTTGTGGGGGAGGGAGGCGATGGGCCCCCCGCTCCCCCGCGACGCCCGGGGCAGGCTCGGCGACTCCGCTTCGTCGGGCTGGGCGAAGGACGCCCCGCTGGCGTCGGAGGGCCGGAAATCCACGGAGCTGTCGAGCGACGAGCGCGTGGCCCTGGGCGTCAGCTGCGTGCCGCCCCGCAACTGCGACCGCAGCCAGCTCTTCGCGGAGCTGCGCGGCGACCCCATGTTCCTGAACGACGGCCCTATCGTCTCGCGCCGCGGCGGGTCGAGAGCGCCGTTGCAGGAGAGCAGGGGCGGCCGCTGAGCTGTCGGCGGAGGGCTTGAGAGAAATCACGCGCGCAGAGACCGTGCCTGGGTCCCCAGCGCCGTCGCGTTCCCCGGTCGGGCCCGGCCGGTGTGTGGCTGTGTTCTGCGCGCCCGCGGCGGCGCCGGAGCCCGTGTGCGCCCGCAGCGCGACGTCTCTCGCGTCGTCAGGGCCCCGGGGTGGCCCGCTCGGGGCGCCTGCCGGGTGCGTGCAGCTCCGAGCTCCTCGCGCGCTGGCCGGGCCTGCGCAGCGCAGTTTTGTGCGTCCGTTGCGGCACCGTTCACCCCACGGAAAGTGTTCGCGCGATTGAGAAACGGGCCGAGTGCGTTGACGCAGAGTTCACGTTCGCGGGAGTCGCCGGGTCGACGAACCCAGCCCAAAGGCGACGGCCTTGACGGGCCTGGAACTGGAGCGTCGTGGCTCCCCCTGCAGGCTGGCGGTGCGGCGATGTGGGCGCGCTGCGCGGCCGCGCTATGTAGTGCCGTGCTCCTGGGGCTTCCCGGGGTGTCGGCGGAGCGCTCGCTGCAGCAGGACAGCTCCGTGTGCAACGCCCTCGCGGCCTTGCGACGCGACGGCGTCACGGACAATACCCAGGTCGCAGGGCTGCTCGCGGGAGAGCATCTGCGGTGAGTACCGACCTGCTAGGCCGCAACACGCGGCTCTGCGCGCACTCCACTTGCACGCCGTCCGATTTTCTCGTTGGTCTCAACTCGAACGACTCTGAGGACACCTCGCATCCCCTCGTTATGTTCCTCCCTCCGAGGAACCGCCTACCAGGGCGCTAGGCAGGGGCCCTAACAGCACCGACGCTCCGACGGCCAACCGGCGCCGCCGCGGCCGACAGCAAGCACCATGCTCGGCAGACAGCGGGGCCAGTGCCCCATGCCGCTCACAGCACGCAACCGTTCAGGTCGACCATAGGGATCTGCTCTCTCATGCGTCCCCTGAAACCGCGCGGCCCGCGACCGTCCCGCCGTCCGGCTGACGCTGACTGCAACGACTCGCCAGCTCGGAAGCGCGTGCCGCCCCGCGGGCCCGTCCCGGCGCCCGCAACGCTCGCCCCAGCCGTTTGCCCGACCCAGCTGGGTTTTGGGCTGAGGCCTGCGTGCGTGTCCGCAAATGACGAGCGCGACGCCCCGCTCACCATCGCAGCATGGGCGTGACGAACGAGCCGCCATACATGGAGTACGAGATCGAGAACGGGGAGTTCAGGGGGGCGTCTGGGTACGTCGTGGACGTGCTCGACGCGGCGGCAGCGCGCGGGGGCTTCACGTACGAGCTGGTGCCGCTGGACGAGACGCGGCTGCAGGCGGGGGAGGAGACGTACACGGGCCTGCTGATTCGGACGATCGCGGAGAACAACTTCGACCTCCTGGCATCGGTGTGGTACGACACCGCGGAGAGGAAGCGGCTGGGGGTGCTGTTCGGGAGGCGCGTGATCGACGTGAGCGGGTACGTCGTGGCGCCGAAGAACGACGTGTCGAACGAGCCGCCGCTGTCGGAGAAGCTGGCGCTCTTCACGCAGGTGCGCCGTGCCGCCCTCATGCCAGGACAGCGTGCCGGCAGAACCGCGGTCGAGCATCCTCGGGTGCCGCCGCCCTGCGCTGCGCGCTGCGCGACGCGACGCCGCGTGTGCCGGCCGCTCGTTCACCTGGTCCCGCGCCACTCTCACGTCCGCAGCCCTTCTCCGGGGGCGTGTGGGCGACCATCGTCGGGCTGCTGATCTTCCAGGCGACGGTGATGTTCTTCCTGGATCGGCAGCGCGTGAAGCGCGTGGCGAGGGAGCACCACGTCGTCGTCGAGCAGCTGCGCCACGAGGCCAGGAAGGACGAGGCTGCGCGGCAAGGCCAGGCGGTCGCCGCCGGCCCACCGGGCCCGAAGCCGCTGCCTGGCGCGGCGTTGTCGATGCGGTGGAACAACGGGTGGACGGATGAGGCGTCGTTTTCGCGGCGCGAGGTGGAGAAGCCGACTGCTGCTGAGGAGGCGGCGAACCTGCGTGCTCGGCTGGCGTGGGTGGACGCGCTGGCGCAGTCGGCGTTCGAGACAGTGTCGCACATGGCCGCCGCCGAGGACGCGCCTATGCCTGTCGCCTGGGCCGCGCGCGTGCAGAACGTCGTGTGGTGCTTCCTGGTGCTGCTCACCATCTCGGCCTACACCGCCAACCTCGCGACGTTCCTGATCGTGCGCTCGCAGCCGACGTCGAGCATCAACGGTACGGCGCTGTACCCTGCGCAGCCACCGCCCGCTCGCGTCGCGCTGTGTCGCGGGCCTCGAACGCAGCGTGCCTTGTGCCCCTAGCGCACGGCAGCGAGCAACTTCGACTCACGCACAGTGTCTCCTTGCGTGGCGTTCCAATACAGGCATTGGGGACCTTCTGGGGCGGCGCATCCCCACGTGCGTGCAGTTCGACACAGGGCTGGGGGAGTTCATCAGTTCGAAGTACCCCAGCCTGAACGCAGTGCGGTCGCGGTGGTCCGACGGGCTCGCGAACATCGAGGCGAAGAGGTGCACGGGCATCATCATGGCGCTGTACGACGCGCAGCAGGCGCTGTCGAGCGGCGTCGGGTGCAGCCTGGCTGTTCAGGGGCAGCCGCTGGTGGACCTGAGCGGGGCGTTCGCGTACTCGCCGTCGTCGACGAACAGCTGCGGGCCGCAGGTGCTGGTGGTGATGGACAGCCTGCTGGCGCAGCTCAGCGAGGAGGGTGTGCTTTCGGAGCTGTGGGATGCGTACGTGCAGCGGCGGTGTCCTGCGGACCTGGAGGCGGAGAGCGCGTCTGCGAGCGACTCGGTGAAGCTGTCGATGGAGGGCTTCTCGGGGCCGTTCTTGGTGTACGGCTGCGCGACGTTCTTGTTGATATGCTGTTCGATCATCGGTCACTGGAGGGAGCAGGCCAGGGGGCGAGGAGGGGGGTCGAACGAGACGGAGAAGGGCGCTCCTGGCCGCGCGATGGGGCGGTTGCGCGGGGTCAAGGAGGAAACAATAAGCATAGAGCAAGAGCCAGAGTCAGGGTTGGCCAAGAACTTGTGATCGTTCAATTTTGGTCGCTGGGACCCCGCAATCTGCCGCACCATTTCGGTCGCTCAAGCGTCCTCGCGGTGAGGGTGCTTGTAGGTCAGCGAAGAACTATAAACATGCTGCGTGTTGCACTTTCAGATGCAGTGTTGACAGCCAACGACCCGCGCGCGCGCGCCCACCGGCCCGGATGTGCCGCACCCGCACACCCACACGGCACCGTCTCGCCCGCAGCAGCCCCACGAGTGACCACTCCTCTAGCCCGCCTCCGTGCGTCACACAAGTGCCTCGATTTCATGCACGTGGGGACGCGAGCCCGGGTTGCGCAGCGCGCAGCGCACGAGGACGCCGGCGAGCCCGACAGGCAGCCCTTCGACGCCCGCCCACGCCCCCTCCTCGCGGTCCGCCTCCTTCTCCGGCGTGCGCTGCTTGGTCGTGAGCTTCGCAAAGGCCCCCATGATGCCCTCCATCATCTCGTCGAGGCCCCGCAGGTCCGCGTCTGGTCCGATCTTCAACGCGTCCAGGCCCGACACCGCCCCGAACGCGGGCCTGGCCGGCGCGCCGACCATTTCCTGCAGCATGCTCGCCATGGCCCACATGTCGGCACGCGCGGCTTCGAGGGGCGAGCGTGAGGACGCGAAGCTGGCGCCCTGCTTGATCCAGCCCCACACCTCGGGCGGCACGTGGCGGACGAGCCCCCCGCCCGACTTCGCCACCGTCAGGCCGGTGATGTCCTGCACCACGTCGTTCACCGGACTGAGCACTGCTGTCAGGGTCCTGTCAGACCCGTCCGACTCAGCCACCAGCACGCTCTCCGGCGCCGCGTGCGCCAGCAGAGCCGCGTGACGGCCCCCGCTCTCCAGCACCGCCGCCGGCCACAGCGCACACAGCAGGCGACACATCGCCCCGACTTTGTCGCGGTCACGGCACGGTGCCGCCTTCAGGGTCCCGGTGACGCGCTGCGTCACGACCGCGGGCGCCCACGACATGCCGCCGTCGACGGAGAACTCCCTCGCGACGGCAAACACGCGCAGCAGTCCCCCCCTCCCGTGCGTGCTGTTGAACTTGGTCACCATGGCATCGACAGCCCCCGCCTGGCGGTCCTTGGCCATGCCCGCCAGCGGCAGCAGCGCGTGCACACTGACGGGCTCGCCGGTCGCGCGCAGCACGCCGTCGTACACCGCGAACGCCCCGTTCGAGAACCTGAGCTTCCCGGGCGACAGCAAGTCGTGCACGTCGCCCACGCGCAGGATGTCCGGGACGCGGTCCTCGTCGCCCGCCGCCTCCTCTAGCTTCGACAGCGGCGCGAAGTCGCCCTTCTCGAACTTGCCGTGCGCCACGGTGCTCGGCGTCGACCACCCGCTCCGCGCCCCGCCCTTCATCATCTTCTTCTTCGCCGGCGCCGCAGCCTTCGCCTTGGGCGCGAAGGCACGCTCGGGCTCTGCTGCCGGTGTGACAGCCTCAGGCACAGCTGGCGGGGGCGGTGTGGGCGCGGGGGGCGCCGCCGCCGGTGCGGGCACCGCACGCTGTGCGTTTGGTCGCCGCATGCGGCGCAGCCCGCGCCCGAGTGCGCCGACCGCGTCGCCGATGGCGCTGATGAGGCCGCGGCCGCTGCCGCCCCCGCCCTGTGCGTAGCACACCGGCTCAGCAGCGATGCCCTGTGCGCCTGCGAACGCCCCCAGGGCGGACGATGGCGGGGTTCCAGGGCCGGGCTCCTCCTGTGGCGGCGGAGGTGGCGCGGGCATCGCACGCGGGGGCTCCGGTGGCGTCGCCGCCGCCGAACTCATGCGTGCACGTGGCTTCGGCTTTGCCGGCGCAGTGGCACCAGCCTCTTCCTCCCGGCTCTCGGCGGCTTCCTCGCGCTCCTTCGTCGCCTCGCGCAACGCTCTGGCCTCCGACGACGGCGCCCCCGCGACGGGCGCTGGTGCTCTGGCGCGTCGCCTCGCGGCCCCTGCAGCCGCCTCGTCCACGTCCTCTTCCAACAGTGCCACGCCCGCCACCTCGTCTGCCTCGGGAACCTCAACCTCGTCGTCCTCGTCCTGTTCGCTCTCGTCCTCCTCCTCCTGCTCCTCTTCCTGCTCGTTCTTCTCCCCGCCCTCCCCGGGCTCCATCTCCGGGGGCGGCATGACGAACAACTGCTGCGCGCCCCCGCCGCCGCCCGGTGCGAAGTCCCCCGCCCCCAGCGATGCGCTTCCCACGTCCACCGCGTTCGCCGTCACGGTGCGATCCGGGCCGGACACGAAACCTTCGATGATGTCTTCAGGACCAGGGAACATCCCCTGGAGCATCTCGTCGTCCGAGTCCAACCCCATGCCCGTGCCCATGTCCTCGTCGCCAAGGTCTGCCTCCTCGGCCGCCGCCTCCGCCGCCTCGTCGTCGAACGCCATCTCCTGTGCGTCGTCGTCGAACGCCATCTCCTGTGCCACGTTGTCGAACGCCCCGACCATCTGCTCGGCGAACGTCGCCTGCTGCTGCATGGGAGCCTCCGCGGTCCCGAACGAGTTGTCCGACCCCAAGCGCCCGAACAGCGCCTGCTGGGTGAGGTCGTCCAGCCCGGCGGGCCCCGCGTCTGGACCCTCCATCGACTCCGACAGCCCAGGCAGCGGCGCGGGCGGTGCGGCCGTCTGAGGCGGTCCAGGTGGCTGCGCTGCGGGCACACTCGGCGCCGCCGCGCCCGCCGCGTTCGCGGCCGCCCGCGCCCCGCCCACCGCGCCCCCCGCAAAGAGATCCTCCGTCTCCGGGCCCTGGATGCGCGACGCCTGCGTGCGCGCCCCGCCCGGTGCGCCCGCGCCGCTGGGCTGCTCCGCGCGGTCGTTCGCGAGCTCGGCGAGGATGGTCTGGATCTCGAGGTGCACGTCAGCGCAGGAGGGCCGCGCGGCGAGGGACCGCGAGAGGCACCTGCGGATGAGCGCCGCGACCTTGGGAGGCATCTGCGCCACGGGGATGGGCGGGTGCGCGCCGCGGAGGAGCGGGAGGCCGGACGCGTCGAGGCAGGGGCCGTCAGTGCCGCTCGCACACAGGCGCACGAAGCAGTCGCGCCAGTCGCGCACGCCGTCGACCTCCCACGGCTTCTGCCCCGTGACCACCTCGAGCAGCGTGCACCCGAGCGCCCACACGTCCGACCCTGACCACACGGCCCCCAGGAACATCTCCGGGGCCATGTAGCGCCAAGTCCCCACCACCGCGCCGGGGCCGCTTGGGGGGCCGCTCGCGCGCCCGGGCGGGGGCACGCCCGGGGTGTTGTGCATGCGCATCGAGCCGAAGTCGCCGAGGACGAGGCGCCGCGCCTGGTGCGGACCCACGTGTCCGGGGGCTGCCGGGGGCGCTGACAGCACGTTCTGCGGCTTGACGTCGCCGTGGATGACGCCGTCCGGGTGCTTGTGTAGCTCCGTGAGCGCGGCTGCGATGTCGGCGGCGGCGGCCAGCGCGTCGGCGACCGGCATCGGGTGTCCGCGCGACAACGGTTCCAGGTGACACAGGTCTGGCCCGCGGAGCTCCAGCACGATCGCCGGCGCACGCGGCATGTCGCCGAGCTCCACGGTCGTCCAGCCGTACACGTGACACACGCCCGCGACCCCCTGGCCGACCGCCAGCGACGCGCACAGCTCGCGCACGAACGTCGGCGCGGGGGCGTTCCAGTCCTGCCATGGGAACGCCTTGACCGCCACAGGCGTCTTCGGGAGATCCAGCTCGCTCGGCTGGGCCATCGCGCCCCGGAACACCTGTCCCTGTCCGCCCGATCCTAAGAGGCCGTCCAGGACCACGTCCGACGGTTGGATGAAGGCCTCCGGGTGGCGCAGGACCTGCTCTTCGGACTCGACCGCGACGGAGGAGCTCTGGGCTGCACGAACCATTTGCGGGGAGGGAGCATGCCGGTTGCCGCGCGCACGGCCCGAGAGCTCGCACATTCCGCTGCGCCGGGAGTGTGGCGCCCGAGCGAGCGCGGAGAGCGGGCCGCGGGCTCGAACCGGGGCGGACCTTGATCCACAGCCGCGGTCCCTCGCGCGCGGTCGCTCGAGCCGGCGGCGCTGCGCCCTCTGGCCACGGTGACGGCGGAAGGCGTGGCCCCTTGCACAGAAGAGCCGGACTGCTGCCCCTGGGCGCCGCTGCGACTCACAGACCGCGGGAAGCGGCTCGTGAGTGCGGATCAGTACTGCTGCCTGATCGGCGAGGTCGATTCAACGACCCAGAGCTACCAAAGGGGAATTTCTGTTCAGGGCTACCAGGTATTGAGCCAGACCGTGGTTTGGAGGGCTTGCGCGTACCTTGGTCCATCGGAACGGCTTCTCTGGTCGACCTCGTTCGAAGCGGCGCCAAGAGCGTCATCGACCGGGGCGTTGTTGTGATCAGACCGGCCGCTCATGGCGATTCTGTGTGCTACGCCGGCAGCAGCCGCTGAGGGAGCAGGCGGGCCTCTCGCTGCTGGAAATCAGGGGCAACGGGTCAGGCTACGAACTGCAACGCAGAACGACAGAGACACTCTCTCGTAGGCCGTCCCTCGGCAGGGTGCACCAACTGCCACAGCAGGAGCGACCCGCGCTGGCACCTTACTTGCGCTTCGCACGTGCGGATCGATGCAGAGGCATAACGGTCACGTAAGTGTGCGTGAGACATCTCGGGGCGCCTTGATGAAGAGGCTCGCGAGGAGTGAGAGCAGACCGTCTGAGACGCACGCCAACGCGAGCACCCAGTCCGACACGCGCCCATCGCCGGTCGTGCCGCTGGGACCGCACGCCATGAGCAGCCTTTCGCGGCCCGTCCGTCGCCCCCCGAGAGTCTCGTTCGAAGCAGGGGCCTCACGTCCACATGCACACACATCCCTCAGGTCAATGATGGCGCTAAGGTCGACCCGCCGATCACATTGCGCCTCGTCCCAGCGGCGCTGCCGCCCGCCAGTCGGCCGCTACTTCGCGGCCGCGCTGACGGTCTCCGCGTCGACCACGTCGGTGTCGGCGTCCTCCCCGGGCTTGTTGTGTTCGCAGTGCTTCTGCAGCCACGCGTCCATCTCGAACAGCGTGTGCATGATGCTCTCGTGCGCGCGGTACCCGTGCCCCTCGTGCGGCAGCAGCACCAGCCGCGACTCCACGCCGTGGCCCTTGAGCGCCGAGAAGAAGCGCTCGCTCTGCATGCTGTACGTCCCCGGGTTGGGGTCGTCCTCGCCGTGGATCAGGAGGAGCGGTTTCTTGATCTTGTCCGCGTGCATGAAGGGGCTCATCTTGGTGTACGTCTCGGGGGCCTGCCACAGCGTCCGCTCCTCGGCCTGGAACCCAAACGGCGTGAGCGTGCGGTTGTACGCGCCGCTGCGCGCCAGCCCGCACGCGAAGAGCTCCCCGCAGTGCGCGAGCAGGTTGGCGGTCATGAAGGCGCCGTAGCTGTGCCCGCCCACCGCGACGCGCGCGCGGTCCACGAAGCCCAGCTCCACGACGTGGTCCACCGCCGCGCGCGCGCTCGCCGTGAGCTGCTCCACGTACCGGTCGTTGGCCTCCTCGTCGTCCTCGCCGATGATGGGCATCGTCGGGCCGTCCAGGATGGCGTACCCGCGCGTGAGCCAGAGCTTGGGCGACAGCGAGCCCACGCCGGAGAACTGGTGCGGCGAGCGGCGCATCTGCCCCGCGGCGTCCCTGGACTTGAACTCGCGCGGATAGGCCCACATGATGCACGGGAGGGGGCCGTCGCGGTCCTTGTCGTACCCGGGGGGGGTGAAGAGCGTGGCAGTGAGGTCCACGCCGTCGTCGCGCTTGTACCGCAGGACCTTCTTCTGCAGGTCCTTCAGCGTCGGGTACGGGTGCGGGAAGTACGTGATCTGCTTCTTCGAGAACGACACCTCCCCCTGAATCAGCTGCTCGAACTCCTCCCCCTCCTGGCTGGCCACGGTCTCCGAGGGGGCGGTCCCGTCGCCGTCGCCGTTGCCGTTCCCGGTCGCGCTCGCCCCGACCGCGAAGTCGAAGAAGTAGTGCTGGGGGGGGTCCTGGACCGTCTCCGTGGTGTACAGGAAGCGCATGCCGTCGAGGGAGGTGTATTGCTTCCCGACCTCGTCGTTCATGAGCGTCCCGACGCGCTCGTACTGCTCGCCCGTGCAGCGCCACACGCGCTGCTTCTTCCGCGTCTTCAGGTCCATCACGTCCACGAACGGCCGGTACCCCTCCGGCGTCGCGCCCTGCCCCAGCAGCACCACGCGCCGGCCCTGGTCCTCGCTCTCGGGCTCCAGCGTCAGCAGCACCGACGTCTTGTACTCCGTCTTGCGCGTCAGCGGGACGCCCGGGTCCGAGTACACGTCCTCGTAGTTGCGGTCGAACAGCACCTCCTCTGTGCGGCCCTCCATCGGGGTGTCCGGCGCGAAGCACCGCACGACGCTCCGCCGCGTCTTCCACCAGCTCTCGTACACCATCGCCAGGTCGCCGTCGCACCACCCGATCCCGTTGTACCGGAAGTCCGTCGTCACCAGCGGCGTGGGCTCCTTGCCCTGCGCCGACTCCTCCGCCGTCATGGTGTACACGATGTCGCGCGGAGAGGCCTCGACCGCGGGGTCCCCGCCGTCCTGGCACTCGGCCCAGTACAGCGTCGCGGGCTTGTCGTCGCGCCACCCGACCTGCCGCGGGCCCTTGCGGCACGAGTTGAACGCGATGGGAATGTCCTCGGCGAGGGGGAGGTCCGCGATGGTCGACAGCTTGTTGCCGTGGACGTCCCACAGCTCGACGACCTTCGGGAAGCGCCCGCACGGCACCAGGAACGAGAACGGCCGCTTCAGGTAGGACACCAGGAGGTACTTGCCGTCCGGCGACGGCAGCACGAAGGTGTACAGGCGCTTGGGGCCGAGCGTGGTGGTCTCGCCCGTCGCGAGGTTGACGCGCGTGAGCTCGCTCTCGCCGTAGTACTCGAACAGCCGCTCGTCGTGCTCGTCCTTGAGCAGGTCGGCATACGTGCGCGCCTGGGCCTTGCCGCCGCCGGAGCTCGTCTGGATCTTCGGACCTGCGTCCACGGGAGCGGCGTGCGCGGGGGGGTCGGAGGGAGCTCGGGGCAGGGCGGGGCGGGGCGTGGCTGCGCGTGCTGCGTCGGGGGCGCACCCGTGGGAACCTCGGGCTTCGTCGGAGCGGGTCCGCGCCCCTTGGGGATGGTGCACGCGAGCACGTTGTCCTCGTCGAGCCACACGTAGTCGTCGAAGATCACGTTCATGTCGCCGAGCACCTTGCGCGCCTCGCAGGTCTCAACGTCACCCACGTACAGCTCCAGCGGCTTGCGCGCGGGGTCGTCCGGCCGCTCGCCGGGGGAGCGAACCGAGAACGCCACGCGCGTGCCCTCTGCACGACAAGCAAGCACCACGCGCGGGCAATCAACGCGCCGCTCTCCATCAGCACCGCCTCGCAACACCGCGCGGCCAGCGGGACCGACCGCCCGCCGCACCTGGGGAGAAGGACACGTAGTTCAGCCAGGCGCGGTCCGGGATCCCCGCGACGGGCCGCAGCCTCGACTCGCCGCCCTCCTTGGCCGGCAGCGCGAGGTCCTCGTCGACGGCCACCAGCGACATGCCCGTGTAGTACGACATGCGCGACCGCGAGTTGAGGACCGGGTCGATGCGCAGGCCGCCCAGCTTGAGCTCCGGGCGCGCGAGCTCCGACACGGGCGGGTTGCTCGGGGGGTTGTCCAGCTGGATCACGTGCTTCCGGCAGGGCGAGAAGGACAGCGAGGGCTCGGGGGGCATGTCCACGATCGAGGCGATCTCCGCGGGGGGCATGCGGTAGCCCGAGTCGGAGTCCGACTCGATCGGCGCGCCCGCGTGCGCTGCGATCGCGGTCGACATCGTGCGGCGGCGCTCGGCGCGGAGGGCGGGAGTGCCCGGGAGCGGGCGCGGTGCCGCGAGCGGGGCGGGGCGACGGGCGCTGCGGGCGAGCCGGGTGGAGAACGCGCGCAGGGCGCAGCCCTGCGTGATCGAGACCGCGGCCCTCATTGACCGGCCGGGGCCCGGTCGCACAAGTTGCGTGGGCCTGGCTGGGGTGCGCTGGGCACGCGCTGGGTCGAGGGTCGCCGCCGTGGCCTGGAGCGGGGAGGGCCCGAGCCTGCGGTGTGCGAGCGAGCGTGTGGTGGGGCGTTGAGGCGAGGGGCGATCCGGGCCAGGACGTGCGCGGTTGCCGCGCCCGGAGGTTGCGGGGCCGGGAGAGCTTGCGCGGGGACACGGCGCGGACGTGGCGTGCGGAGCTTTCGCGGTGCTGAGTCAACTGCACTGTGTATGATGGCGGCGCCAGCGGCTCCGGGGCGCTCGTGCAGCCGGCATCGACTTGGAGCGCAGGTCTCTCCAGCCTCAGACGACAGGGGGGGCCGCGAGGAACCCCGCGCTGTCGCCGCGGGACAGGCGGACGCGACGCCGTGTGCGAGCGAGCAGTCATGACCGCAGTCCCTGCTTGGCGACTTCAAAACGACGGACAGCGGGGACAGCGCAGTGGGTCTCCCCAGCGCGCAAGGAAAGGGCCCGTGCGGACCGCCGCTGCCGCGGGATCTATGACGCCGGATCTTCGCTGAGAGGGGAGCTCAGCTTATCCGCTCCCCGGGACGCTAGCAGCCGCTGCAGCGCACCCGTGCCGCGGACGCACCTCGTAAAATGCCCTTGCAAGTGCAACCCAGGGTCACGGACACGCCAGGATGTGCCAGGTTCACGGTCGAGCAAACTGACTGGGACAGTCGCGCTGTACGCGCTCTGTCGAAGCCGTCGTCGCGTAGTGTGGACGGACGGGGCCAAAGGGAGGCCGAGTCGGTATGACGCAAACGATTGCGAAAATTCGCCGATTGTGGCGCCTTCCAATTGCTGGAAACGGCTCGCAGGCTATCTTAATCACTACACTGTTCCCGTGCTGCAAGGTTCGTCCCGTGGAAACCGACTTTCGAGCTGGTTCCGGGCGTGTCGCACTGGACTGCACCTGGCCCGCCCCGCCTCTGTTCGGGGGCTCCTGGCGCCGTGCACGACCAGTACGTGACGGCACGTGTATCGGCACTACGCGAGTCATCCGCTTTCGTTCCATAGATCATTCTGTCAGTGCACCCGTCGCTAGCCGCTGCACGCGTTCAGGTGACCATCGGCCCGCGATGCGTACATCGTTGATCGACGTGAATCGACCTGCCAGATGACCGCCTTGATGGCTCTTCTCGATCTTGTGTGAGAGGACGTGGAATTCCTCCGCTCGTGCAGGCGCCGCTGGGCTGGTGAGCGTCTAGCTGAACGTGGGCGTCGCGTTGCGCACAGGGAGAGAGCGCGATGTCACGCACGTCGGACACGCTGTACCACATGTGCGATTCCGCAGCATGGCAGAGGTGCTGTCAGGCCCCGGACCAGCCCTACTTCCCGCCCACGTACGATGCTGATGGGTTCACGCACCTCACTGCAGACCCCGCGCTGCTGCTCGGAGTGGCAAACCACTTCTACACGGTGCGCCCCCGGCCCACCGAGCCGCCCGAGTCCCTCGCGATGCGCGCGCCCCGATCTCTCCGTGTCCAGCCGACGGACAGCACCTGTGCCACATGCAGGACGTCGGCGGTGACTGGATCGTCTTGTGCATAGATCCCAGCAAGCTGAAAGCGAAGGTCGTATTCGAGGCCGCGGCGCCTGTGGGTGACAAGCCCGCCAAGGAGGGGGAGCAGCTCTTCCCGCACCTGTATGGGGGCATCGACGTCGCCGCGGTGTTCGACACGATGAGGATGGTCCGGGACCCCGCGGGACGCTTCCTGTCCATCGAGGGCCTTTGACATCACCGGCATACTCGTGCAGTAGGCAGCGGAGCGCGTGCGTCGTCCGAAACACTAGTAGCGGCCCCATAGCGGCAAATGGAAGCTCGGGGGCGCTGGGAGCACCTGAGTGAGAGCCGGGGTTCGAGATGTGTGTCACAGCGGTTTGTAGTCTACTTCGAGGGCAATCCACTCCACAAAACAGGACTGTTGTGTTTCGTTTGCTTCTCGGCCAACATGCACCCCGATCGCTCAGAGCAGCCGCAGGGCGCGGCGCTCTTGCGATCCACTCGGACTCGCCCCCGTGTCCGCAGAATCTTCGCGAGCTGCCGTGCGGCGGCCACCGCACCAGACATGCACCCACCGCTCCCTCCGCGCCTCTCCGGCTCGCCGCCCGAGCGCGCGTCCTAGAACGGCTTGAGCGACGCGCTGTCGTTCGGCGCCCACTTGACGACCTCGAACTCGGCGCTGGTGTAGGCCAGCATCAGCACGGCGCGCACCTTCCAGTGCTGTGCCTTGTCCTTGATCCAGGACAGCCCGATGTTGCCCAGGACCTGCAGCATCCCGCTGACCGTCGCCTTGAGCGTCTTCCCGAACTCGTCCAGCATCGCCCACGCGTCCTCGTCCTTCTGCGCCACCATGGCCTCCTCGACCAGCAGCTTCACCGAGGGGATGCGGAAGAAGGTCGACACGTACGCGCTCGCGCGGTCCCCGTGCGGCTCCACGTACGGCATCGACCCCTCGTGCAGCGACAGCTTGTGCGACAGCTTGCGGCGCACGTGCGAGAGCGACCCGAACTGCGCGCCGTGGCCCGTCATGCGGCTGAACGGGTGCATCGCGGCGCCCGGGCCCTCGCCCGCGTCGCCCTGCTGCGTGGGCGCGGCCTGCGACAGCGGCAGGCGGACGTCCGCGGGCCCGAGCTCCGTGGACGCCGCCAGCATGCACTGCAGGGCCACGTTGCGCGCGTCGTCGTTGTGCCCCGCGAACAGCTCGTCGATCTGGCGCAGGTCCTCGAGGGCGTCGTCCTCGCGGAACTGCTCGCGCAGCAGGATGCGCCGCTTCATCTGCTCGGCCTCGCTGTCCGCGCCCGCGCCCCGCAGCCGCTTCAGCGCGCGCTCCGTCACCTCGACGCGGTTCGCGAGGCACGCGAGGCACCGCATCATCCGCTGCAGGTTGCTGCGCACCGCGGCGGGCTGCTCCGCGCGGCCGCGCAGCACGAGCCAGCCCTGCATCACCGTCGCGGACCCCTCCTTGGTCTCCTGGACGCACACGCCAATGCCCGGGATGAGCTCGCCGGTGGCGCGGAGGTGCTCGAAGAGCTCGCGGTCGTCGATGAGGAACTCGACCAGGCGGTTCGCGGACGGCGTGTACCGGGCCTGGAAGAGCGCCGTCCAGGGCGCCTTGAGCGTGCGCCACTCGGCGTTGATCTTGCCGCGCGGGGTGCCGCGCCGCTCGGCCTCGAACTGCTGGCGCTCGGCCTTCTTCTTCGGCAGCGCGGCGTCGTTCTTGGGGATCCCGCGGATCTGCTGCGCGGGCTCGCTGGCCTCGGTCAGGCGCCGGATGAGCGACCCCGCGCTGCCGGCGTCGTCCTCCGACAGCAGCGGCGCGACGAGGCGGTGGAGGAGGAAGTTGTCCGGGTCCTGCCACCAGAGGTAGAGCAGGAAGACCATGGAGCGGTCCACGTGCCCCGCGCGGTCCACCAGCCCGCGCTGGAGGAGGTACTCGCACATGTAGGCAAAGTGCTCCTCGCACTCGCGGCGGACCGTGGGGCGGCCCGTGGACTGCAGCGGCGCGGTGAGGAGCTTGGCGGCGCGCTCGAGCTGCGCGTGGCCCGGCTGCCCGTCGGCGGCGCCGTTCCACGAGGGGTCGCAGAGGGCCAGGGAGCTGAGCACGACCGAGGCGGTCATCGCGATGCCGACGCGCAGGGGCGGGAGGCTCGAGGTCATGAGCTGGCGCACGCGGCGGTCGCCGAGCGCGAAGAACACGCACGCGCCGCGGTCGTCGATCCCACGGCGGCCCGCGCGCCCCGACACCTGCTGGAAGTCCAGCACCGTCAGGTAGGGGGAGTCCCCGCAGACGACCGCCGTGCGGCACGGCATGTTGATACCGTATGCGAGCGTGGAGGTGCAGAACACCGCCCGCAGCGCCTTGCGCCGGAAGAGGTTCTCGACCAGCACGCGGTAGTCGTACTTGTGGGCGCCGTGGTGCGACCCGAACCCGCGCATGAGGTACCCGTGGAGCTGGTGGTAGCGCGACTCCTCGTCGCAGGCCCGGTCCAGGTACTTCTGCAGGTTGGTGCGCGTGAGCTCGCCCGTGATGTCGGGCACGCGCGCCCCGCCGCCCTCGAGCAGCACCAGCTCCTGCCACGCCGCCGTCATCGCCTCGGCCAGCCGCTCGCTCTCCGGGTCCGCGCGCTCCTCGTAGTCCGTCTCGGCGTTGTCCTGCCGGTACAGCTGCGGCTTGGACAAAAAGGCGTTGAACGCCCGCGTGGCCTCCCACGCCGCCGCCTCCAGCTCCACGACCTTCTTCTTCTGCTTGGGCGTCAGGAGCGCGCGCCGGGACGCGATGATCGCGCGCGGGAAGTCGTCGACCTTCCACTGCGCGTACGAGAACACCAGCGCTGGCAGGAGGTCGCGCTTGTGCAGCGCGTCGATCAGCCCGGCCATCTCGCGGTACTGGTACGCGTCGCTCGTGGTCGCGTCCTCGCTGCTCGGGTCGATCGGGTCGTGCTCCGCGCTGCGCTCCTCGGACAGCACCCCGGGCAGGTGCGACACCACGCGCGCCAGCGTGTCCTGGTCCACCTCGCGCAGCCGGTCGAGCAGCCGCTCGCACAGCCCGCGCGCCTCGGGCCGCGTGAGCACCACCGTCTGCGGCACGCCCCACGCGGTCTCGCCCATCACGGTGCTGGCGCGCTCCCCCGGGTCCACGCCCGCCTTGACCATGGCGTCCAGCAGCTGCAGGCCGCTCCGGGGGGACAGCGTGCGCGCGATGGCCCCCGCGGGCGCGCGCTTCAGCAGCCGCGACAGCTCCGGGAGGCGGTGCGCGGCGAGCGGGTGCATCTCGTCGAGGAGCCCCCCGCTCTGGTACGACAGGTAGTCGAGCTGGACCCACCGCTCCGGCACGCGGTCCCGCACGAAGGGCTCCGGGAGCTGCTTCATGGCGGCGACCTCCTGCATCGACGTGCCGAGGCTGCGCGCGACGGCGGCGCGCTCCTCGGGGCGTAGCTCGGCGCCCGACGTGATCTCGATCGAGCCGGGGACCTGCACGACGGGCGGCTGGCCGTCCGCGCGGACGACGGTGGAGAGGCCCGGGCCGGGCCCCTTGAGGCCGCGCACCCAGTCGACGAGCTCCTGCTGGTTGCCGATGGTGGCGGAGATGGCCAGGATGGGGCAGTCCATGGCCTGCAGGACGCGCTGGTACGCGGCGCGGTCCTTGTCCATGCAGTGGATCTCGTCGAGGATGGCGTAGCGGAGGCGCGCGGCGAACGCCGGCCCCTGCACGGGGTTGAGCAGCTTCAGCTGGAGCATCTCGGGGACGGTGACCAGGCAGCGGCACGCGTTCTCGTTGATGCGCATGTCGCGGTCCCACAGCCCCGCGACGATCTCGTTGCGCGCCTCGCCGAACTGCGCGACGAGGTCGGCCATGACCTGCATGGCCAGCGCCTTGGTGGGCACCACGTACACGCACAGCGGCGGGTCCGGCTGCGCGGCGAGGCGCTTCGCCTCGGGGTCCTCGTACTTCTTCGCGCGCTTCGGGTGGTACCGCAGCATGCTGGCGATGCAGTAGTAGCAGATGAACGACTTGCCCGCCGACGTGGGCGCCACCACGATGGCCGACTGCCGGCGGTCCACCACGTCCAGCAGGTCGCGCTGCCACGGGTCCGGGCGGAACGCGACGCGCCCGTGCGGGTCCGGCGCGTTCCCGAGGTTCCGGGGCAGCTTGTAGCCCAGCTCGCCCATCTGCAGGCGCGCCAGGCGGTCTGCGTCCGCCTCCTCCGCGGTCATCGCGGCGCGCACGACGCGCGACACCTCCTGCGGCTCCTTCGCGAGCAGCTTCCGCGGCGCCAGGTCGCCCAGGACGGCGTCCAGCTGCTGGAGCACGCTGCCGAACCCGTGGGCCTGCAGCGTGGAGCGGATCTTGGCCAGGGCCTCCGCGCAGGAGCCGGACTTGAGGAGCTCCGCGGACACGGTGCTGCGCGTGACGGCCTCGAGCGACTTGCCCGCGCACCCGTCGATCGCGAGCTGGATGATGGAGAGCCCGCGCCACAGGATGTCCGCGTCCGACACGGCGCCGTTCTCGACCTTGCCGCGCAGCGCCACCCACTGCCCGTCGCGCAGCACCCGCGCAGGCACCGTCGTCGCGGGCATCGAGTCCAGCTCCGCGAGCATCCGCGCGGGCTGCCACTGCACGCGCAGCTTCTGCTCCAGCTTCTGCACCTCCTCCTCGACCTCCGCCGTCGCGCGCGCCGTCACCACGTGCTTGTTCGTCTTGCTCGCCTGCCCCATCGTCGGGTGCTCCCCCCACCGCTTGACCGGCTCCTCGGGGTGGAAGTGGTGCAGCGCGCTCAGCTTGCGGCCCTCCAGCGGCGCCAGCGAGCGCGCCATCGCCTCGATCTGCTCCAGCTGCTTCTGCTGGTTCTGCCGGTAGTTGTTCGACTTGATCTCGCGGTCCATCAGCGGCCGCAGCTTGTGGCTGTGCGCCGCCTTGTTGAACGTGCGCGGGAACTCCCCCCCGTGCGACACCTCCGCAGCCGAGGGGGGCGCGGGCTTCTTCTCCGCGGGCTTGCTCGGCGCCACGTCGTCCTCGTCCAGGTCCTCCCACGAGTCCGCCTCGACCCCCGGCACCGCGGGCTGCACGTCGTCGCCGTCCAGGTCCTCCCACGAGTCCAGCTCGGCGGGCTCCACGACCGCCGGCGCGCCGTTCGCGCCGCCCGCGTCGTCGTCGTCGTCGTCGTCCCACGAGTCGGGCACCTCGTCGGCGGGCGCCGGGGCCTTGGCCTGCTTGCTGGGGGTCGCCTTCGCCTTGGCGGGGGTTGCACCCGCCGCGCCGTTGACCGCATGCGCCTTCCCGGCCTCGCTGCCCTCGTAGATGTACTTCGCGAGCGGGATCGTGCGGTGCCGCGCGAAGTCGATCGGCTCCAGGTGGTCGACCTGCAGGCGCCCCGCGTCCCCGGCCTGGTGGTCGGCGTCCGCCATGTCGGCCGCCGCGGGGTAGATCTGCGTCGAGGGCGCCACCGACCGCCCGAGCTGCACCACGGCGTCGCGCACGCCGCGCAGGTCCTGCGGGAGCTGCGCGACGAGCCCCGCGCCCTTGAGCAGCTGTGCCGCCGCCGCGCTCTCGGCGTCGGTGAGCTCGAGGCTGCCGACGAGCAGCCGGTGCAGGACGCGCCCGTCCAGCACGTCGCCGCAGCCCGCCAGGAAGTCCTTCGCGCCCCCGCTCGCGGCCAGCAGCTTCGAGGCGCCGCCCAGCGCCACGTCGGCCACCACCGCCGCGAACGCGGCCCCCAGGGGCGCGGCGAGCGCGCGGAACAGCAGCGCGCCGCCGGCCTCGAGCGCGCCGGCGTCCGCGCCCGCGTCGCCGAGCGGCCCCTCGCTCCTGCGCCGGCCGCTGCTGCACGACCGCCGCGGCCACCAGCGCCGCCGCCAGCTGCTCCCTGGACGCGCCGGGCAGGATGTCGCCAGCGCCGCATGGCCGCGGCCGCCGCGAGGCCCACCGCCGCGAGCGCGCGGCCCGAGTGCGCGGCGGGCGGCTGCGCGCGCGACATGGCGTCCGCGGCGGCGCCCTGCAGGTCGGCCGGCACCCCGCCAGCCGCGCCCTCGAGCACGCGGGCGGCCCACGCAAGCGCGCCGCCGTGGAGCTCGGCGTGCACGTCGACGTACTCGCGCTTCTCCGCCTCGCTGCGCTCGATGGCGTACTTGTTGCGGTGCTGCCACGCGCGGATGGACTGTTCGGCCACGATGCCGGTCGTGGTGCCAATGTCGATGGCCCGCGGGGACACGCGCGCGACCTTGACGTCGATGGCGACGGCGGCCATCATCTGGATCGCGCGCAGGAAGTGCAGGCGCGCGACCTCGGCGCTCCCGCTCCCCTCGAGGAAGGTCAGGTCGTCCATGACCACCAGCGGCGCCGCGACGTCGTTCAGCAGGCCGCGCCACGCGGGGCCGAGGCCGTCGGAGATGGGCGCGTGGATGCGCACGCGCTCGGGGTCCTCGGGGGCGCAGGACGCGGCGCTGCGCACCACGGCGTGCAGGTGCGCGAGGAGCGCGCGGCGCGTGGCCTGGAGCAGCGGGACCGTGGCGTACAGCGCGTCGTGGGCGCTGCACGACACGAGGTGGAGCTTGCACACCGTGGCCTCGGTGAGGCTCCAGAGGATGCGCTCGGCCTCGTAGACGACCGCCAGCGGCTGGAACGCGCGCAGGCGGGGCAGGCCGTCCTTGTCATCTGCGGGCAACAGCCTCCGCGCGGGGGGGTCAGGGCGGGCGCGGGGAGGCGGCGGCGGTGCGGTCGAGCGACGGCACATGATCTGGACCGTCGGTCTGTGCGACCGCGAGTCGTGCAGACGGAGGAACGCGGCGCGCGGGACGTGCGCGATGCAGCCGCGGTGGCCAGGTGCCAGGGGGCTCTTCGAGCCGCTGGCCGGCGAATTACGAGCTGGCTGGCCGCGAAATCGTCCGCGTACATCTGAGGGGGCCGGTGCGATCGGCGGCGTCGGGCGGGGAGCTCGGGCGCACCTGCCCCGAAGGCAGCAGCCCGGGAGAAGCACTCATGCCAGCCGCTGGCGCTGACGGCGAGCGTGAGCAAGGTGTCGACGTCCACGACGATGGCGTCCTGCGGGGCGAGGCCGGCCGCGACGTTGGTGACGGTGAAGTCCTGCTGCTCGACCCACGCGTTGACGAACCGCTCGGCCTCCTCCCAAGGCACCTCCGCGGACGGCGACGCCCCGCCGCTCGCAGCGGCCGTCATCGCTGCCCCGAGTGCGCGGGTGCACGATCCAGCAGAGGTTCAATGCGGCCGCTCCTTGAGAATCCCTCCGTGCGCGAATTGGTACCTGCAACCGTCCGGCAGAGATCCAGCGCTCAGGTTCCGCGCGAGGAGCGTCAACGCGCCCGGTTCGATCGCCAGGGGAAGCGGTTGCACGGGCACTCCGCGCAGCCGCATCGCCGGCCCTGTCTGTCTGGCCGCGGGCGGAGCACGGGGCCGTCGCCGGCTGCGGTAGCCGCCAAGCGGCACCCGGCCAGCTGACGCACGCCCGGCGCGACGCGACGCGGAGGCGGCGCAAGAGGGACGTCTATCCGCATCTCATGCTACGTAGAAGCTGGCGGAGAGCGCCTCGGGGATCGGGACGGAGCGCGGGGGGCACGCTGCACAACGGGGCAGTTCTGGTTGCGGCGCCACGGGCAATACGCTGCCTGTCAGCGCGCGAGGAGGCGGCGGGAGCCCGATGACGGCAATGCGTATCGGTTGGGCAGTGGGGCTCCGCGGCGCGCGGCGCGGCAGTCCTGAACACACTGCCAGCCGTCCGGCCTGCATGATGGCCGCAGTGCGGCTGTAGGACGCACCTATGGATCCGAGGCGCAGAGGTCCTCGATCTTCCAGCTATTCTGCTGATGTAGAACGCAAGCCGGCCCTCATGTCGCCCCGCGCAGGTGCGCTGGCGCGTGTTGATGGGGCCACCCCGAGTATGAGGGACGCGGCCCATCTGTGAACAAGGGCCCCCGGTCAGAGCGGTCAGAGCAGTATGGGCGCTTCGGGAATTGACTCGCGCGGGTCACCATCGTGTCCATCAAGGTGACCTTGTGCAGGCGCGACGCTGGCGGCAGCAGGGCGCCTGTCGTGCGTCCCACTAGTACGTGGCGCTGGCCAGCCTGAACTCACAGGCTTCGTGCGCTGCGTTCGGTTGCCGTCCATCCAGCGGCGATTCCGCATGGTGCTGACTGTGAGCTGATCTCTTGCTAGAGCCCGCTTTGCCCAGTGAACACGCCCGAAGCTGTCGCCCTCGGCGCGGGCTTGCACAGGGCTGCCCTGCGCGCTTACGGTGCACTCCTGGCAGTTTGCTTCCTTCAGCGCGCGTCATCGCACCCTTCGCATTCGTGGGCTCACGGTCGTTTGCCTATCTTCCGTGGCAGGGCAAGCATCGCGAGGCGCTTCTGAGGCTCGGCCACTTGGCCTCTCACAGCCTAAGGCAGGGTCGAGCCGACCCATCCATCGCACCTCAGCAGTGCTGCCGCAGCACTGCTTCGCCATCGCCGATGCCCGCGAGCGGTAGCGCCCATGGTCACAATCGTTGAAAAACGACGTGAACGGTGCGACGCTGTCGGCCTGCGCTATTTCACCCCCAGAGGTGTTCGCAACCGACGCAACGTGTGGTCGCGGCGGCTCCTTCGCCTGCGCAGTGCACGCACGCCTGCCATTTACGTGCGTGGCATCGCGCACGCAGTGACGGTCGGTGCCTCCTCGCGCGTTGGCGCGCTACTTGTTCACAGTTGTTGCCCACAGGACAGGTGTACTCCACGGCGACGTGGGAGGGCGAGGATGAGCGACGCGCCGCAGGTACGCAGAGCTCTGAATCATGCAACCAGGACACGCGCACCCAATCGTGCCTGCTGGCCGGAACGCGCGCGCGAGAGCACCTGTTGCCTGACGACTCGAACGAGCGTGTGCCGCGCTCGTCGCCCTGGCGTTTCTTGACCCTCGAATGGCGCGGAAAACAACGAACCCATTGGAGTCGGCGCCGCCTGCGCAGGAACGCAGCGCCGCGGCGTCCGGCGCGCCTCGCGCGGAGGCGCCTGTGCAGCGCAGCGACGCAACCAGACGGCCCCGCGCACCACCACCAGGGGCGGGCGCTTGGTCAAGCCCACGGCGCGGCTGCGCGACGAGGTGTCGTACGACGGTGCGTGAGCGCGGCCGCACAGGTGCTGTACTAGGCGCGCACTTCGCCCAGGTGTTGGCGGGTGCATGGCGGCAGCTTGGGAAGCCCCGGGGCTGTGAACCACGAACCAAGCACGCACCAGTCTCACAGCTGCGGCACGTAGCGGGCGTATGGGCGCGGTTCCGCGCGATTTCCGGCCCGCGCGGACGCCAGTCAGAGCCGGTATGATCAGACTGGGCAAGCATATCTCCAGTATGAGGCGGTCAGATAGGACTTTCTGACTGGGGGGGGCAGTTTGCAGATGCCCGCCCCGGGGGCCTCGGCGCGCACCGCGAGGCGTCACAGTGGCCAGCGGGCCGAGTGGCTTGCACGCTATCGCCGCGATCGATAGCGAATTTTCAGGGCCCTTTTTCTGAACAACAGGGGGCGCGCGCGGCCAAGTCAACCTCACCGCACTGCTCGCGTCGCACAAGTGGCCTTGGGGGGGCGATTCCGTCCCAGAGGGCGCGCACCGGCATGGTGCAGATCAAGGCTACCATCCAAGCGAATGCGCCGCCATCGCGGCGGAGCAGCGCGGCGTGCCACGCGATAGGCCGATCAGGCTGTCCAGCGCCGCAGCGTCCTGCCGAGAGCGTGAGGAGACACCCAAGCCGGCCGACACGACGACACAATGGACCCTTACACGGTCGAATGCTCGGTGGCGGTGCAGAGCGCCCCGGCAGCGCATCAATGCATAGAGCTTCTGCGGGCGGGGAGCAAAGCGGGGCGGGAGGGGGCCCGCTCGACCTGATCGACGTGTGCTCCGAGGCACGGCGCTGCACCACCTGCACCAGCGTCTGCGCCAGCGTCTGCGCCCTGTCTCAGGTGCTTGCCGGGAGTGCACGACTCGTCCAGTGACACATCTGTTGCTGAGTGTGTGCTCTTGGGCGCGCAGGAAATGCGCAGCCGGCTCGCGGACTTGTCGCGCGGGTACGCGACCATCGCCATCGCCCTCGAAGGCTTCTCGGAGCGCCCGGTGGACGGAAAGCGTTCCGTGCTGGAGCAGGTGGACGCCATTTGTGCCGGCATGGAGGCCGACCTCAGCAGGCAAGATGGCCCTCAACGCCCACCGAGATCGATCGCGCCGAGGAGGGGGCGGCGTCGATGGTGACTCCGCGCGGCCGTTCGTCTCGCACGACCCAACGTGTTTGTGTGTTGCTGTTGTGCCTCGCTCCGCAGGATCCGCGAGATCGGCCCCGCCGCGATGGACTCGTGCGAGACGGACGAGGACGAAGCGAACCACCTCCTGCGCGCGCGCGTCGACGTCTACGTCAACGGCCCGACGATGTTCGCGGTGGACGGCACGCAGCGCGCAGAGATCTTCTCCGGGGTCCTCAAGCTGATCGAGAAGGAAGACTCGCTGCCCGCGGAGCACCCCGCCCGCGAGGAGATGAAGCGGAGACAGGACATGGCGCTGGGCCCGGTGCCGTACGCAGCAGCTAGTGTTGCTGCCGGCCTCTCCCCAGACGTGACGGCGGTGCTGCAGGCGGCGCAGGCATCGGACGGAGACATTCTGCAGGCGATCACGAATCATCCAGAGAAGGGGGTGAGCTCGCCCGCGCCGCAACGACGCCGCAGCGGTCCCTCGCGCTGGCCCCACCGCACGCGCGCATGCATACAGACCCAACATGCAGGACCCAGTGCGACCGCGCTGGCCCGCTGCAGATCGCGCAGCGCCTCGTCATGGCGATGGTGGAGCCGCGGGTCCGCGAGCTGGTCACAGGTGGCGCGGACGACGAGGTGTCTCGGCTCCTGGTCGTGTGGGACCGCATGGCCGAGACGCAGCAGTAGGAGCCGACGCAGCGACGCAGGCCGAGACCACCCGAGCGCGTGTGATGCAGCGCGATAGCTCGGCGGCCGTGCGCTCACGCGTGCTCTGCAAACACCCTCTTTGCCTGTTCCACCAGCTCCACCTTCTTGCCCGCCGGCACCTGGCCCTTGGACGTCAGGAAGCCCTGCATCGCGCGAGAAAACGATAGCGCTGAGCCGGCTGCGCGGACGTTGCACTATCATGTGCGCCGCACCACAGGAGCTACGTTGGCATGACGAAGAAAGGCGCGCGCGTGCAATCGAGCCGCCCACCTTGAGCTGGTGGACGGTGCACTGCATCAGACTACCCGCAGCCCACTTGCGCTCCACCGCAGCCACGCACTGCGCCTCGGTCTCCTCGACACGCTTCCGCTTCGTGCCCGCGGAGCGCTCCTCCACGGCACCGGCGGGCACAAATGCGCTGGCACCCTGCGCACAGGCATGCAGCAGCTCTCCGAGCAGAGCCACGCCCCTCCCTCGCGCATCGCTGTCAAGCAGGCCATCCGTCTCGTCCTTGAAAGGACGGTCATCCTGCGGCGAGCAGGTCGATGCAGCATGGCCGATTCATCATGTGCTACGTATGGGAGCGTGGCTGTGGCCGTGGCAGCTGGCGGGCACACTCACGTCGAATGCGATCCGTCGTAAGCCCGCCATGCGCGCGGCGTTGTGCGGGTTCGGGATCCGCGTCGTAGGCAGCAGCGCGGGCATGTCGGTGAGCTGCATGGCGTCGACCAGCGACCTCGCAGCCTCGACCTGCGCAGTGACGACACGCGAGAGACGGTAGCTTCGGGGTGCCGATGCGGTTCCGTGCAGCTAGCCCCGCTCCGCGTGCAATGTACGGCGTTCTGGTGCCTGTCTCAATCTATCTTTGAGCGTCGCCGAGCATGCGCGAGGTGGGCTGGGGCACCGACCTGTTGCTCTGTGGGTTTTCCCTCGTCGATGAGTGCGCCGGCGTGAACCGCCAGCCGCTCGACGGGCTTGTCGCCGGTGGTGAAGGGCAGGTACGTGAGCATCATGCCACAAGGAACCACCACCGCACCGGACTGGTCGTGGCGCTGCTCCACCGCGACGAGCCGCGCCAGCTTCACGCCGTGACGCGTCCAGACAGTGCACACCGCGGCCTGCACAGACACGCGCCAGGCACCGCGGATCAAAACATCCTCTCTCTCTTGCACGATTGCGGCGATCGTGGTGGTTCCGCGCCAAGAATCGGACAAGCTCGTGCGCGGAGAAGACAGTAGTCCGCACCTGCTCCGTCTCGGTCATCTCTGCGTGCAGCGCCGCGAAGACCTCGTTGCCTCGATCGGTGGGAGACAGGAACGTCGATGTTCCGATGTGCCTCTCGAAGCCGCAGGACGGGGACGCCTCGAACGCCAGGATGTGGATCGCTCCAACTTTCCGCCGAGGCGGTCTCATTGTCTCGTAGAGGTCGGCTTCAGGGACGACGAGGCTGCACGTGCAGCGACATGATGCACCACGCGGCAAGGTCACGAGCTCGCAGGCAACGTCGCGGGGCGCGCGGCAGACGCACGTCGCCATGTCACGAAGGCGCACGGCGTGCAGTTCGTACGTGGCGCCTCCGTAGTCGATGTACCGCAGCTTGCGATGTGCGCCCTCCTTGCCCTCGCTGACAGGCGGCTGGAGCTGCTGGGCTCCCTCCGATTCGACGTCGTCTCCATCCTGCGCGTCGTCCATGCTCTCGCCTCCTTCGCTCGACGCCTCCGACGCACCATCGCTCCCCCCCGCTCCCGCGCTCGCCAGCACGCCCTTTACCTTGCATTTCGTGAAGAGAGAGTACGCGTTCACCGGCACCTGCAGATCAGCCACGTTTGACGTATCTTGACGCGGACACTCTCGTGGAAACGCCAGCCGCCCTGAGGCAAACATGACGACTGAATAAGCACAGCGCTTGTATGTTTTCCTGCGGCGCCATTCGTGCTCGCCGTATGCAGGCCTCGTACCCGAACTGACGTCCCGAGAACGATTTCGAATTTCCCTGACGTGCGCAGCTTCTTGCGCACGGTCACCGACCGGTGCTGCAGCCCCAGCGCGCTCACCACGGACGACACCGGCACGGCACGCAGACGCGCGCGCTGACCGAGGTCGCCGTCGCTGGGCAGCAGGCCCGACCAGGTCCGTTCGGCCGCGTCCTGCGCGTCCACGCCGGCGTCGCACAGGACCGTCACCGAGCACACCTGCGACGCGGCAATGAGGAGTCCGAGGAAGTTCCTGACGTCCTGCGCCAGCGCCGGACCCATGCCCGCCAGGTCCACGTTCCGTGTGAGGAAGTGCACGTGCGCGCTCGTCGTCCTCGCGGTCCGCGTTTGGATCAAACTGAGCGCGCTCTTGACTGCAGACAAGAAAGCGCGGGGGGTGTCTTGTTCGGCCGGCTGGTGGCCCTCCAGCGCGTCCTGTATGTCGGGATACTGCGGGTCGAGCCGCCGGATCCCGTCGACCGAAGGCCTCGCGGGGCTCTGCGCGGGGAGGAGAGGGGGGGACTGTTTGTTTCCACCATGTCACGCGCCGCCCGTCAACCCGCACCTGCGCGGGCTGGAGGAGCCGGGCGCGACGCTCTCGTCGTCGTCCCCGTGCAACCACGTTCGTGTGGGCTCCGACCTGCGCGACCCACACTCCTTGATGGCCTGTGTCCGTTGGTGGAGTCTGAACGCCGTACAGGCAGACTGCGTGCCGGTTCCGGGGACATGCGATCGCCTCGCGCTTCATGAACTCCGTGACATGCGCCAGCATCACCTGCAGCGCTCCAGACACGCCGTGGAGAGGGCGCGGGGCCATCGGCCTGGCCGCGGAGAGCACAAGCGAGTCGAGGCAGCACGCGGCGAGAGAGGGAGTCCTGACTGTTTCCAATCGACTCAGAAGGTCCTTGAGTCGGAAACTAGTGACTCGTCGTTCGAGAACTCGAGGACGCGCGCGGGCCGAACCTCCACGGAGCTCCACTCGGCGTAGTCTGGTAAAGGCGCGCGCATCGCCGCACCGCCGTCAATGGCGAAGACAGTCAAATCGTCCGCGTCCGCCGCGATGTGGAGCTCGTCTCTGCCCGCCGGGTCTGCCGCGTTCGTCCTCGGACGGGCCGCATGGCCCTCCGCCCCGCCCGTGCTCATGGGCCTGCAATGCGGCATCGAGAGTCCAGACGCCGGCCGCACACGTACTCGAACACCCGCCGCACCCACGGGGAACGGGTTCGGCCGCACGCGGCGCCGCCTGGAAGCCTTCCGGCGCGCGCGGAACTGGTCAGCGGGAGGCCTCGTGCTGGTAGGACATCTGTCAGCATCTGTTGACGGTCAACGCGGTGGGACGTTCGGGCCAGGTGCGCGGTCACAGTCACGGGGGCGCTGCGGCGCTACTGCTGGCCAGCGAGCCAGGTGCCGGACTTGCCGCCCGTCTTCGACAGCAGGCGCACGTGCTTGATGACGATGCCCTTGGTGAGGCTCTTGCACATGTCGTACACGGTCAGCGCCGCCGTCGACGCCGACACCAGCGCCTCCATCTCGACGCCCGTCGGACCGACGCAGCGCACCTCCGACTGCACGGCGCGGGGAGGCGCGGCCGTTCGCACAGGTCGGCGAACCTCTTCTCACGTCAGCGCAAGCGAGGGGCCGGCAGGAGCGGCGCTGGCGCGGGCGCCACCTGTATGACCACCGCGTTGTTCGGCTCGTCCATCGTGATGCGCACGTCCGTCCCGGCGAGCTGCACGGGGTGGCACATGGGGATGACGTTGGCCGTGCCCTTGGCGGCCATCACGCCCGCCACCCGCGCCGTGGCCATGACGTCGCCCTTGGGCACACCCTGGTCGCGGAGCGTCGCGAACGAGTCCGGGGGGAACACCACGACGGCCTCTGCGCGGTGCGTGGGCGGACGGTGCTCGTTGTCAGCGGGCGCGCGGCGTCGGGGCGTGCGATGCGCTGGCGCTGCACGAGCAAGCCAGCCACGCTGGCGAGAGCCGTCGCGGCCTGCCGATGCCGCGGCGCAACCTTTTGCACTGCGGCGGGCGTCCGTGCCTGCAACCGCAGTCCGCGTGGTGGGCTTCTTCTCGCTCGTGTCGACCATGTAGACCTCGCCGTGCTTGTTGATGTGCGTCAGAGGGCCGTCACCGGCCTGCGAACGACATGCGTGCGCGCTCGAGGCACAGCGTGCTGCTCCGGAGGCACTGCAGAGCGCAGGTCGCGAGCTCCTGCGCGGTGCCCCCTGGCATTCCAGCCGGATCGACGATGTCGTTGTGCTCCTGTACGAGCTCGCGCCTCGACCGATGCAGTTGGCGCCGTCGGACCTCGCCAGGCACGCCGCGTCCGCCGAGAGGACGCACTGCACAGCGCCCAGGGCGCGCCCGCACCGCGTGGCAACCCGTGACATCCTCGACGTACGGCGGACGGACGCGCTGTGTCAACTACGAGCACGCGTGCCATTCAGGGAGTGCGCATTCGCCGGGAGCGCGGCGCTGAAGAGCGCGGGAACCTCCCAGCATGGCATTGACCCCCCCAGTCCTGCGTCAGTGCATGTGCGGCACGCCCCGGCGCGCCAGCCAGGTGACAGCACGGCGACCACGTGACGCGGCCCCTCCGGGCGCCCTGGGGGCGGCTACGTCGTTTCTTTCTGTGTTTTTTTTTTTTCTGTGCATCACAAGTATGACGGAGTCAAGTACGTGCCGCCTCGCCTCACCTCAGGCCCGTGTTGAACGTCACTTGCGACGGCCGCGACAGGTGGAAGTTCTCCGGCATCACGAACGGTTGCCGGAACGTCGGCAGCGACGAGGTGTTGAGGTCCGCCGATCCCGCCACCGACACCCCGCTCTTCCCCGTGTCCTGCACACACACCAACGCCCGCGACAAGCGGTCGTCTCGCGCCCGCGTCGCCGCCACGCACGCGCCACACGCACACCGGCACCGTGCTGAACAGAGACACGCGCCGCTCACCATTCGTCCGCTCTTCCGCGTCAGCGTCGCCTCGCGCGTCTGCGGGCGCGTGGTCACCCACGGCCCGCGGAAGACGTACCACACCTCGTCCATCGCCGTCACCGTCGCGCCCCACACCGCCACCTCCTTGCGCAGGTTGAGCTCCTGCCCGGCCCGGCTGTTGTGCAGGTACCACCGCATGTACTTCCCCAGCTCCGCGTGCGCGCCCGCGCGCCCCTCGCGCGCCTCCGCGGCCCGGTCCTGCGCCGCCTCCTCCTCGTCCAGCGCCGCCCGGCTGAACCGCGCGACGATGAGCCCGTGCACGTCCATCGACACGTCGCGGAACGACGCCGTCTCGCGCGCGAAGTCCGCGGCCATGCGGGACAGGTGCTCCCCCGCGAGCCCGAGCGCCTTGGTCTTCGTGCTCAGGCGCGCGCCGCTCCGCATCGGCGGCTGCTCCCCGGCGTCCGGGTCCACGCCGCCCACCTGGATCTTGTCCAGCCCGTAGGACCCGTACAGGACGTTCGCGTGCGCCGACGACGGCGGGAGCTCGCCCTGCGGCGCGCGCACCACGAAGTCGTCCTGCGCGAGCACGGACACGTCGCGGGGGCTCGTCAGGGGCGGCACGCGAGCGACGCCGCACCCATGCACCACCGACAACACGCAGGGTCGCCTTCGGGCGGGGCGCGGCGCGACTCACGTCGACGATCCACTTCGCGCGCTCCCTCCTCTTGATGTCCCGCTCCAGGTCGCGCATGCGGTCCGCGTGCGACCCGCCGTACCCCTCCGGGATGTACTCGTAGACGCTGAAGAAGCGCGGGATCGTGGCGAACGCGTGGGCCGGACGCATGCCGCAGTCCTGGTTCTCCTTCTTCCACACCGTTTGCCTGCGTCGGGGGAGCGGACGCGCGGGCCGCGTGAGACAGGGGCGCGCGCCGTGGCCTGACGCGGTGGGTGGTGCGCGATGTGGTGGGTGGGCGCGCACGTGACCGATCTCCGCAGCCGGTTCTTGTGCCGGTCCCCCGCCCGCATCAGGGAGCGCTCCCTGTTGAGGTCTTCGCGGCGCGTCGTCACCTTCTTCGCCACCACCTCCCGCATGGCGTCTCGAAACCCTGCAACGACTCGACCCGCGCACCGCGAACATCGCCATCCGCACGTGCAAGGGAACGCGCTGACAGATGGCGAGGTCGGCTGGCCGTGCCTGCTTTTCAGCGGCCGGTGGATCGCAGAAGCCGGCGAGCAGTAGCCGTGTCATGTGTGCACCACAGGAGGGGCCGCAGGGGCCCGGGACCGGACAAGCAGCCCTCGTGGGACGCGGACGGACGAAGGACACGTCGGTGCGCGTCGAGCGACGGGAGCGGTGCGCGGGATGCGGCCGCCGGGTGCGCAGGCGAGCCCACGCACCTGGCTTGAGTGCGTTGGGCAGGCTCCTGATCCCGCTGAAGTCCGTCTTCTTGAACGCGCACGTGATGCGCTCCTGCTCCGCCTGCGACGACATCCCAAGGAGGGCGGGCGACCGTCGGAAGACGCAGGCGGTCAGCCGCTACGGCGAGCGACGGGCTGCACGGAAATACCGCCCGCGCCCCGGGAGCCGCTCCTCGCGTTCAGCGCGCAGCGCGGCCGAGAGCCTGGCGCAGTCCGCGGACCACGCGGACCCGATCACGCCTGGTCGCGCGCCGGCGCGGCCGCTCTGCCCCGCGGCGCCGTCGCGGAGGGGGGCGGAAGTGTGCTGTGATTCCTCGTCGACGGTACTGAGCTACGACTTGCGTCGAAAGCGCCCGGTGCACGCCTCACCTGGCCCGCAACGTTGTCGTGGAGCTTCTTCTCCGTCTCAGTCATGTAGTGGCCGCGCATGGCCCTCGGGCTCTCGCCTCCATCTGCTGGAAGGTACGGGTCGGCATGCATCCTGGGCGAACTGGCCCCTGAAGGCGGGAAACGCCACGTATTCTAGTGTCCGGCCAGAGCTACTAACTCGATGATCGATCCGGTCGAGGCGCCGGTGCCTGCCGCGTCACTGGGCGTTCATGCGCGGCTACAGGTCCATCGCGCGGTGTACACAAGAGGCCAGGTGCCGCTCGGGCCGCATTCGGGTGGACGTGTCCTCGCACGCAGCGCTGCTTCTGCTTCGAGTGGACGCGGCGGTCGCCCTACGTGGCCCTCGCATGCACGTTCGAGGAGACGCCCCCCCGTTGGTGGAAAGTATGACACTTGAGGTCCCCGGACTAACACGCGCGCGGCGCTCACGCGGGGCAGGGCTTTCCCAGCCCGGTTCCGTGGGGGTTGTATCCGTTGGCGAACCTCACGCCCGCCGGCACCATGCCGCACAGCCCCGGGTTGTTGTGCACCGACACGCGGAAGAGGCTGGCGCCGGCGACCGCGGGGCCGAGCTCCCCGGAGAGGTCGTTGTCCGCCAGCGTGATGGCTGCGCTTCGCGGCGGCGGGCGGGCAGGGTGTCGGCCGAGGTTGCGGGCTGGCAGCGATCTTCTCGCGTGCTCGTTCGACAGCGCGCTGGCCTGGCATGCGTCGTTCGTTTTGCGTACGCAGGGCGGGGCGGGGTCACGTGCCTGTCAGCGTCTCGTTCAGCAGGCTGAGGGAGGGGGGGAGTGTTCCCGTCAGCCGGTTGTTGTGCAGCTCGATCTCCCGCAGCTTCCGCGCCGCGCCCATGTTCGCCGGGAGCGTCCCCTCGACCCTGTTGTTCGAGATCTCGAACTCCTCCAGCTGCGGGAACTTCTCGAAGATCCCCCCCGGGATGGTCCCGCTGAGGCGGTTGTACGACAGGTCGAGCTCGGCGAGGTCCGGGAAGCAGTCGGGGACCCACTCGGGGACCGCGTGGCCGGTGCCGGGCTCGGACTCGAGGCGTCCGCCGTCGAGGTCGAGTTCGCGGAGGCGCGAGAAGAGGCAGAGTTCCTCGGGGATGGGGCCGTCGAGTTTGAGGTCGGAGAGGTGCAGGTTGGTCACGTAGCCGTCGTACCGCCCGTCGCTGTTCTTCCCGGACGAGGGGCCTCTGTGCGCGGGAATCGGGGCGCGGGCGGCGAGCTCGGGTACGCAGGGTTGCAGTCATCCTGGATGCTGCCGACAGGGTGGTTGAGGCTGCTCAGAGCATCGGTTCGGGGCGGACGGACTGATGCGTGGCGAGAGCGCGGGCGTGCGGACCTGCAGTATACGTGATCGAAGTTCCCGAACGACGATCGGTCCCCGCACGGGTCGCACCGGGCCACTGCACGACAGCGGACGCAGAGTACGAGACTGACGGGTGACGAGTACGAGACTGACGGGTGTTCGACGCCCTCCCGCGCGCGTTCGGCCGGGCACCGCGACGGATCCCGAGCGGCTCACCTCGCGGGCACGTCCAGGACGCGAGGGCGCTGTTCCAGTACCAGCTCCTCCCCTCGAGGCGCCTGCGACATCGCGAACAAGGCGGCCCGGGGCCGAGTTCATCGCCGAAGCGAGCTGATTTTCCGGCGGCGGTGCCACGACGGTGCCGCAGGGGCGCACGCGCGGGCGCGCACCAGCACATGACTTCTGCCGACGGATCCTCCTTGGCCCACCAGCGCATGGAAAACGCGTACGTGTGGTCGATTTCGGGCCACTGGTACTGCTTGCCCTGGTGCGGTCGCTCCGTATCCCCTCGAATCTCCCGCAGGAGACCCATCCTGCAGTTACGCAGATCCCCGGGGGCCGTCTGCGCGCCCTCCAGCGCTCTCAAGCCGAACGGATGACACAGATCACTGTCTTGCGAAGTAAGCGTGAGGAACTCGCGCATGCGAGGGCTGCGCCATGCCCCAGCGGGCCGCGGAGCGCCTGGGGCCACAGCAACATGCCTCCCTCTCCACGGCATCTAGAGCGCAGGAAGCTCATCAACTATGCGACTGGCAGGAAGTCAAGAACAGCACATCGCGAGAAACACCGGAACGAGGCGCGCTTGGGCGCAGGGCGCTTGGCGACGCGCGCAATCAGCCAGTGCAAGGTGGGCACGCACGGCACGGAGTCGTCCTGGTCCGGCGCGCGCCGCTCCTTGAACAGAGCGTTCCCCTCCTCCAATATGGTGTTCAGGTCCTCCCATCTCTCCAGCGGGGCCGCCTCCATCGCGGCGCTCGAGCTGCCCGGCGGTGGGCGAGCCACAGGGCGCTGCGGGCCTGAGGGGGGGCCGTCACGATCCGCAGTCACCGCCGCATGAACCTGCCATCTGCTCTCGCGACCTGCGCGCGCCGTGCGCCGCGCCCGCCCGAACAGCCGTGCCCAGCCCCGCTCAGCAGGGACGTCACGGCGAGGGGCACCGGGGGGAGTCGCCAGGGGCGTCCCGGACAGATGAAGCCCGCGCAGGCCGCGCACCGTCACTGGCTCGCACGCAGATCGCTCGCGTGCCTGTCGCCTCCCGTGCGGTCCGGGCCACAGCTGAACTTGAGTGACGGCATCAGTTCGCGCGGGTCGTTTCGTGTCTTGCGCCGAGGCGCCGGCTGCATCGACGGCCGCCGCCCCGGCGATGTCAGCTCTCTTCTGCTGCCGGCGGCCGCTGCGCCTCGCCGTGACGTCGCTCGTGCGGCGCGGGGCGAGCATCTCCGGATGCGCACGGCAAGCACGGACCGCCCGCGCGGCGCACAGCGAGCGTCGACGCCTCACGCTCGTGCGAGTTGTGAACAAGTCAAGTCACGCAGCGCACGTCGCCTTCGACCCTGCTCCCACATGCTCCCCACATGCTCCCCACATGCTCCCCACGGGCTCCCCACATGCTCCCCACGGGCTCCCCACGGGCTCCGAGCTCACCGCGCGCATCTCACACGCACCCCGGCCCCCGCGCGCACCCGCTGCACCACGGCGTGGCGCGCCCGGCGCCACCGTACCTGCGCTACCGCCGTGCCGGCCGGCAGCCCCGCCTCGCGCGGGGGGCGGTCTACGGCGCGCTGCCCGTCGCGGTGAGGCCACGCCGGCCCCGCTCGACTCGACTTGTTACATCCCGTAGAACGGGTCGCACCGCCAAGGCAGGTTCTACCCCACCCCATAACGCCACTAGAGGGTGCCCACTGTGAACATGCCTGGTAGTCGAAATGCGCCGGGAAACCGCGCGCACCGCCGGTTCGGCGGGGCGCCCCCGCTCACCCCGGTTGCCCCCGGCTCGCGTCCGGGGTGTCAATGATTCGACCAGCGGGCCAGTTATGGGCTCGGCTTCATACCTCCGTGTCGACTCCATCGCTGCGTGTTTGCGCGTTACTGGGGTCGCTGCGCGGTCTTGCGAACACTTTCGCCACGCTCGAGGATTACAAGGCCCTCGCACGGCAGGAAATTGCGTGCAAGGTGCGACCAGTGAGCACACCCTGCCTCGGCCCGCGGACACCTGCGAGCGACTAGTCTCGGGGCACGGACGCGCGCATCTCGTCCCTCACTACAATGACATGTTCGATGGCACTCCGATCCCGGTGTCGCGCCGCGACAGGCGCAGATGTGCCCCCCCCGCAGATGTTGAAGAACGTGGCTTCCCAGGTGCCCGTTTGCGCTCCGCCCGTGTGCTCGTGGAGTATTCAGGTGACCGCTTCTCGCCTCCGACGTACTCACGAACCCGCACCGGGGAGATGCGGCCCTCACAAGCCTGCCGTTCCTCGCGCACGGGCGGCGCCTTTCGCCTTGCACACCACAGGACTTGCCAGCCGTACCGGGCCCCCATCTCCCGCCGGTCGGCGACGACGGCGCTGGTACAGGTAGTGGAAGTTGTAGGGGCCGAGCGGCGCTGGGGCTAGCTGCGTGCGGCGCACGCCAGGCGTCGCCTTCGAGTTATGACAGCGTGCCACGTGCGCCGTGCATGCGATGTCTCCCGCTCGCGGGTGACCGGTCCAAGGTGGACGGTGTGAACGCGAATGTAGCACGCGCGCAGTCACCCCGGCAGCGCGCGATTCGGCGGCTGCAGCTGGTGGACGCGGGCGGGGACCGGTGCAAACCGTGCTTGACCGGTGCGAACCGACGCTGAGCGGTGCGCACCGGCGGCTGACCGGTTGTTACGTAAGATTGGTGGACAAGGTCGGGACCGGTGCGCACCAGTGTACCGGTGTGACCCGTTTCCCAGCCCCTTTCAACTGCCTTGGATGTTCACAGGCGCCTCTCGCGCGCGGCCGCACCGGGAGGTCGAATTTGCCCACCCTGAGACTGAGACCGTTGGCACTCTTCACGGGCCGATTGGGATGGCGGGGGGCCTCGGCCGGGGTGTGAACGAGTTGAGTCAGAGTCACAAGACCGGGTCGCCCCGTGCGGCCGGCGGAGGCAGGGGCGGCCGAGGCCCCCCCCGCCACCCAAAGGCGCGTGAAGAGTGCCAACGGTCGCTGCGCCACCGCTGGTCACGCAACCTCGGGCGAGGCACCCTCCTCCTCGCTGGAGCAGCACGTCGCGACCGTCGACGTGCGGGATGTCCTCGCTCGGAGCCATGTTGTCGAGGCCCGCCCGGTGGTACACTTCCATGCCGCGCGCGCGATCCGCTCGGGCGCCGCTGCGCGGGCCAGCGGCGCGCGGGGAGGGCGCCCGCTTGGCGGCCCCGGCCCGCCCGTCGCGCGGAGAGGAGGCACGAGACGGCCGAAAAGACCGGGGGAGATCCACGTGGACGACGAAGTCCCCGCGAGGCTGCTGCGCGCGCGCCACCTCTGCGGCCGGCCGCGCTAGCGGCGGGGTGGAGTGCCCTTGCTTTGCCAACGCCTCGCGCGGTGCACGTGTCCGCGGCCCTGCGCCGAGGACGCGGCACATGGGTGCCGCCGCGAGGACACGCGACGTGGATGCGCGATGCGCCATTGTGGGGGCCCGTGGCGCGGCTGGGCGCCGTGTCAGTCAGCAAGGTGACATCAACGACAGCCCCCGCGGGGGGCGCGACGCTCTCATCACCTGCGCCGTCTTGGGGCGCGCGCCCTCGCGACTCTCCGCATTCGCTGCGCGCGAGGCTGCCCCGAGCCGCCCGCGCAGTCCCCCGCAGCCGCCCAGCGGCCGCGCCCCAGGTGCAGAGCACTCAGGCTGCTCCGCGCGGAGCACGCGGGCCCCACGGCCCGCCACGCCGTCGAACCGGCTCCCCCTGGTGGAACTCTCGACGAGCGACGCGATGGCCGGCAACCTACAGGTGCGCACGCGCGGTCCCCGCGAAAGGTCGCAGACGCCCCCGTCCTCCCCGTCCTCCGCACCGCGCGTGGGCCCAGAGCGCGCTCCGCGCCTGCCCGCCGGCGAACGCGATACGCGGGCGACGCCCCCGTGCGACGTCTTCTCGCGCACGGCCCCGGACGCCCCAGGCCAGCCCAGCGCCCCCAACCCGTCCGGCGTCCGCGCGTGCCCGTCGCGCGCAGGCCGTCCCGGACACCACCATGGAGTCCGACGACATGGAAGAAGCCTTCATGTCGACCCCCCTGCAGGTGCGCCATCCCCTCGCCCCCGCTGCAGACCTGCTCCTCATGCTGCCACCCGCCCGGTCGCGCTCCGAGCGCCCCCTGCGGCGCGCGGCCCCACGACGCGCGCCGCCATTCTCTCGCCACCGTCCTGCTGCCCGCCACGCGCGCCGCGCGCCGCCCCGGATCTCGTGCTCTCCACGCCCGCGTCCCCTCGGGGGGACGTCACGAGGCTCCCGGAGCTCCGTCGCCGCGCGCGCCCGCGCGATTCCCACCGCCCCTTCCGGCCGCGACTGTTTCGTCCCGTCGCCTCCGCCGCGCGCGGCGCGCACGGGCGCACGCCGCGCGCCCACACGAGCGGGGCGTACCTCCCAGGCTGACTTGCGTGCCTCCCATGCGACGCGGGCCTGACCGGTGACGCCGTGCCGCCCCGTCGACGCGCAGCCAGTCACCGACGTCCCCAACCGCATCGCGCGCCAGAGGACCGCGAACGAAGATGTGGAGGCCCTGACTGCGACGTTCGGCGGTTTGGACATCCGCGACGACGCGGCCGGCGCGGGCGCTGGAGCCGAGCCGGTGCGTCCTCCCCGTCGCCCCCCGACGCGTCCGCCGCTCCCCGCGATCGCCCTGCCCGGGCCGGACGAGGACGCGCGCTGCGCCGCCCCACGCCCGCCCGTCGCCGCTCTCGCACGATCGCCCACGCTGTCCACCCGCGCCACTCACTCTGCTTCCGCAGCCTGGGGGGTTCACGCGTGTCGACGGAACTGGAATCCCGGTGCCGTTCAGGGTGCCGCAGCCAGTCTCTCTGACGCAGGGTCGAATGACCACGCAAGCGGAGGACCAGCGCGCCCTCGTCGAGGCCGCCCACGTGGCGTCGACCCACGGCCTCCCCTGCGTGGCCTGCGCGCGGAACGGCCGCGGCGCCTGCAGCTGCACGCCGGCCTCTGCGCTCATGAGGCTCCCAGATCCCGTCTTGGCATTCGTCGACTATGACTCGGGCGCCGAGCGCGAGCGCGGCGCGGCGGCCACGTGCGGCGACTACCGGTCGTCGCGGTGCCTGTGGGCGATCGACCTGGCCAAGCGCCGGGTCCGTCCGCAAGGCCTGCGAGAGATGGCCGTGTTCGCTCTGCTGGACCAGGGGCTCGAGATTTTAAAGGAGGTCAATTCGAGGGCCGGCGGAGGCACGCGGCTGTCGGAGCTCCTGGAGCGCGTCGGCGACCTGAAGTACGGCAACCCGCCCGACCTGTCAGTGGGGCTGCGCAGGATGGACTTTTACCTCCCATTTTACGGCAAGGACGGAGAGGTGGCCGGCTACGTGTTCATCGAGGTGGACGAGCACCGGCACCGCACACACACCGTCGCGGAGGAGACGGCGCGGGAGGAGGTGTTCCGCGCTGCGTGCGAACGGCGGGGGTGGCACGCGGTGTTCGTGCGCATCAACACCGACCTCTTTCGCTCTGGGCCGGGGGGCGAGGGGCTGCCCTACGCCTACCACGTGTCGCTGGGGGAGCTCGCCGCGCACGCCCTGGCGCAGGCTCTGCGCCGCGCGCGCCAGCTGCGCGACCGCGAGGCGGGCCACCACGCCACGGTCGCGGACGTCGAAATTGGATTCAACGTCGATCCGGCGGTGCCGGGCGGGCCCGGCCGCGCCGCGCTGCGGAGCGACCTCAAGACGTGGCGCGCGGACCCGCTCGACGTCAACGGGACGCGCCTCGACGGCGTCGTGGTTGCCCAGGAGTACGTGACCGGGCGGAGGCGGGTGAAGGACATCATCGCCGGCGTCGACAGCTTCGCGCTCGGTACCCTCGACAAGTCCTACTACGTCGACGTCATCGCGGTGCTCAGAATGGGCGCTGCGGCGCTCGGTGTTGGCACACCCACGGGGCCCGTGATTCCGCCAGGGGACCTGCAGGCGCCTGCGGCTGGGCCGTCCCAGCCGGGCGCAGCCGCGGCGGAGGATGTCGCCTCGCACGGCACCGAGGGCCGCTTCGGCGAGACGAAAGCGCTGTACGGCGAGCTTGCGCAACTGGCGGCAAAGCGCTACAGGAAGCCCGGCGTCCAGCGCGGGAGCGCGCTCGTCGTCGCCGTGCAGCTGGAGGAGGGCGCGGACAACGCCGAGCCTGTGTTCTGGGCGTACGTGGCGATGCACCACGTGGTGGTGCGCTCAGACACCGTCGAAGTGGAGGACACCCTGAGCGACGTGTGGGTTCAGACGTCGCGCGAGGTGGCGAGCGCGCTCCCCGGGGCCGCCGGTGGCTTCATGTCCGCGGAGATCTTCCAGGACTACCTGCGGGAGCTCGGTGAGCGTGCGCAAGGCGCCTTCCCGCTCATCGTCCTCTACGGCACGTCGCCGGGGGACTTTCGGAAGGCGGTGGCGGACGCCTTGCGGTCCAAGCCGTCCAAGCCGTCCGAGCCGTCTCCATCTGCGTCACCGGTCAAGAAGATGCCGAAGCACGCCGCGCCCGCGCTGGATGCCTGGGGCGTCGTGGACCTGCGGCAGGCGTTCCCCCCGGCCCAGGGCGGTGGCGTCCCGGCCGGGTCGCGACCCGCGGGTCTGTGGGCCGTGCTGGGCCCGGCCGCCGTGGTGCCCGCCAGAGTGGGCGACGCACAACGGGCTCTCGAAGCCGCCCAGGCCCGCAGCCGCCCGACGCTGATCGCCAGCCTGGCGCAGGCCTTGGGCGATGCGTTCGAGAACGCCCGCGACCCGCGCGACGGCTGGGAGGCCAAGGGCGGCGAGTTCCTGGCCAGCGTCGCGTACGACGCGCACATGAACGAGCTGGCCGCGCACAAGCAGCGCCTCGACGAAGGCGTCGAGACGGCGGTCTGGAGCGCGGTCCGGCCCCCCGCGGCGCTGGTCACGTTGTACGACGATTACTACAACGGCCGCCTGACGCAGGAGGAGCGGCTGCTGCGGGCCGAGAAGGCGCAGCGGCCTCTGCTGGAGGCAACGTGGCCCTTGCTGCGCGGCGACCTGCGGCGGGACAGGAACGGTCGCGGCGACCTCGAGGACTGTCGGCTGTTCGGGCGGGTGTCGGGCAACAGGGTGGTGTTCGTCGACGGGGGGGGGGCCTTGCTCGCCCAGGCGCTGTTTTTGATGCCGGGCGAGGTGCGGATCGAGGACGAGTCGGGCGTCGAGCGGACGGAGCCCGGCATGGTGCCGATGAACGCCGCGAAGCTTGAGGGGGGGTTGTACGAGAGGAAGGTGGCCATCTCCCTGCGGGGAGCGGACCCGGCGAGGTTCGTCGACGCGTGCCTCGTCGTGCAGCGGTCGGGTGACAAGACCGCAGTCTACCTGCGCTGGACGGCGGCCCTGGCGCGGCGCGTGCGCTGGGCCGACGGGGACGAGGTCATGCTGGAGTTCGCCGACGACATCGCCTCGGTGCGGCCAGCGGACCCCGCTCAGGATGAGACGGACACCGAGGCGGCGCGCGCAGGCCGCGCGCCGCTCGACGATCCCGACGGCGCGCGGGCGGTGTTCCGCATCTGCAACATCAGTGCCCTCCAATCCGACCGAGAAGTCGCGGACGCGCGACGTACGGAGGAGAACACGCGCGTGCTGCACGACGTGCGCTGCGCGCTCGACGTGCCGGGCACCAGACCGCTCGCCGCGACGGCGACGACGGCCGCGGCGACGGCGACGACGGCCGCGGCGCAGGCGAGGACACGCACGCGCAAGGCGCCAACCACGTCCTCCACCTGTGGTGGGACGGAGTTAGATGGGCGTCGAGTCCGTCCCGGGTGCAAGCGTTCTTCGCGGCCGTCTTTCCAAAGGAAGAGGAGCCGCTGTGGGGATCGGGCAAGCGGCTGCTGGTGTGGCTCGCGCGGCGAACCCCCCCCCCCGAGGGCGGCGGTTCGGACGCCGACCAGGGAGTCATCGAGCTCGCCGACTTGTCTGAGACTGAGACTGAGACTTCCACGCCTGCACCCACGTGGAGGTTCGCGCCTGTCGTCGTGTCCTTCGGAGGTGGGCAACTTGGTGTGCCCGGGATGGCCCGCGCCTGCGAGGTCCTCGGGGTGCAGGTCGGCGGCGACGTCGGCGTGTCGCTCCGTCCCATCGCTGGCTCGTGGCACACGGAGGTATCGCCTGGTAAGCGGGTGCCCGGGACGTCGTTCGGGATGCTCGCGGGCGACGCGGTGATGGCGCTGCACGTGACGGAGGGCGCAGGCGCGGCGAGGCAGCAGGAGATGGCCCAGGCTGCCTACCGAGAATTTCAAAGAGACATCGGGGCAACGCCGGCGCTGGGGAAGCAGCTGCAACATTCGGAGGAGGCGACGTTCCGACGGTACTGCCCGCTGCTGTTCGTGCCAGTTGAGACTCGTAGGACCTTCGCACAGACGTTCGCACTGCACGTGCCTGCCGGCGCCGACCCGACGTCGGGCTTGGGGCGCGAAGGCGAGGCCGTCGCGAGGCCGTTCCTGGAGGAGACGCTCGGCAAGGTCCGCGCAGAGGGAGCGTACGGGGTCACGCTGGTGCCGGAGGTGGCCGCCGACCCCGATCAGGGTGCACGTGCAGCTCACGAGGTCGTGCAGATCCGGGTGGGACGTGGGGCGAGCAAGCGGCTCAACCGGCCTGTGGAGCTCGGCGACTTCGGGCGGACGCTGCGCGAGAACTTGGGCATGTCCCCAGCAAGTGCCGCGGGGACGTGGTGTGCGCTCGAGGTCCGGGAGCTGACCAACGCGCAGCTCCTCGATCTCCTCGGGGAGCCAGGCCTGGAGCTGCCCGAGCCGCGCCTCGGATTGGTCGTGCACGAGGTGCACAAGGGCGAGGGCGAGACGGACGAGGAGTTCGGGAAGCGGCACGAGGCGAAGCTGGAGGAGATCGAGGTCGAAGTGGGGCGGCTGCACGTCGAGGCGGTGCGGCGGCGGAGCATGGTCAACCTGCGGAGTGCGGTGTCGCTCGCCGACACGGTAGTCACGCGCGCTGGCTTTGAGGCCGCCCTCGAGGGCGATCTCGCGCCTTCGGTGGCCTCGGAGCACGCTAGCACGCCGCTGTACCTGCGGCGCGAGCGCGGCGGACTGTACCGCGTGCGCCTCTTCATCACCCAGAGGGGGGAGTTCGCAACGGGCATCCTTCCAGTCTGGCTGTTGCGCGTGCTCTTCCCGAACGACGCCATCGGTTGGGTTGCCAGCGAAGCGCGAGCGGCCACACCGGTGGTGGAGGCAAAGATCGTCCTTGTCGCTCGCGACGGAACCGGCGGGTACGCGCGCGGCGAGGCGCTGATCCGCGTGCATTACGAGTATCGGAAGAGCAGGCTCGCAGGATGGGTCATCGACGTCACCCCCTTGGACGTCGGGCTGCTGAAGCACCTGGGCGCCGCGCTAGACGAGACGCACGACGCCGGGTGGCTCCGCCTCGTGCGCATGACGGAGGCCGAGTGCCGCGTCGTGTGCGCGGCTCCCGGATCGGACGCGTTCTGCGCGGAAGGACCTCCCGAGGCCGACGCACCTTGGCGACTGCCCCGCGCCACATGTTTCTGGGTGCGGCAGCTGGCGGATGACGACGGGCACCTCGACGCCATTCCGCTCGGAGCACGTCGCCTGCCCGTACCGGGGGATCGGCCCGCCCGGCCACCAACTCTTCTCCGCGCTCCGACGCCTGATGTGCTGTGGAACGTCGTGCTGGGCGACATCACGGTCCCGAAGGTGTCCGATCCTGCCGCGCCCCGCCATTGGCAGGCGGTGATCGCGGCACCCACAGCCAGGCGAGTCGCGACAACCGATGGGGCAAATGCAGCAAAAAACGCGATCAGGTTGTTGGAACTGATCAAGTCGCTGTTCTACGACGCCGACACGGCAGGCGGCGGCAGCGCTCCTGGGTCCACTGACGGACGGATCTTCTCTGGCACGCTCGGGGACGGCTACGGTGCTAAGTCTCTGCCCCATGTCAGCGTCACCTTCGTCGTCCGCGACGAGGCCGCAGCACCCCGCGCCATCGGCTGCGGCTACCGCGGCTACGAGGTGCGGTTCCGCAAGGACAACCGGTGGGTGGTGCCGTGCCCCAAAGGCGATCCGCTCCGGCTCACGTTCTTCGGGCCGCAGGAGCTCCTGGATGCGCTCGGCATCCCCGTGCGTGCGACGCGCGAAGGGGCCCCCTCCGTGTTGGGGGGCATCCGCATCGTGCGTCAGCTGACGCACGAGGAGGCGTCGTTCGTGTACGGCATGGAGGACTGGCGGCGCCCCGCCTTCCTCGTGGTGCGGTCCAGGTCCACGACGACCCTGGCAGACGCGGCGGTGCAGGCGGACCCCGACGGGCAGGCGGACCCCGACGGGCAGGCGGACCCCGACGGGCAGGACCGGGCCAGGCTTGCCGCGCAGCTGGGCCCCGCGCTGTTTCCTGGGTCCGGCGGCTTCAATCTCTTGCACCGGAGCAAGAACGTCGACATTCTTCCGGAGGACGGCGCCGGGCTGATCGTCGGCGAACAGCGGCTCCGCGGGCTCCCGGTCGCCAAGGAGGTCTGGCAGCCCATCCCACCAGCGTGCGATGCCGTGCCCGCGGACAGCTTCTACGACGCGGTCATCGCGAGCTATCCGCGGAGTTGTCCGAGCGCAGTCGAACTGCGAACGCGGGTGGCGAAGGCGGAGAAGGACGCGATTCCAGACGTGCTGGAGCTGGCGCGCAGGGGGTTCGACCCCCTGACCCAGGCGTGCACGAGCCGCGCGGCCATCCTGCTGCGGGCCGTGCGGGGCGCGACGGAGGGGGAGTGGCTGGCCCACCTGGACCAGGTACTTCGCTCTCAGTCGCAGGAGGACCACGGCGCCATGCTCGAGCAACTCCGCCAAGACCTGCAGGCGGAGGCCCGCTGGATCGGGACGTGCGAAGATCGGCGGCGGCAGACCCCCGGCGAAACAGCCGGACGCGCGGGCGACGACGACTGGAAGCGCATGGAGCGGCTGCTGCGCCTGTGGGTGCGAGGCGTGGAAGACGGCGCGTGGGCGAGCGAGCCGGAGCTGGCGTTCGCCGCGTCCGTGCTGGCCGTCAACCTGAGACGACCAGTCAACCTCTTCGCGATCGACGTCTCCCGGCGGCGCGTGACCGCCGAGGGCGTGAAGCAGACCCAGCTCGCCGTCCGCGGCTGCGGCTGCGGGTTGCAACACGGGACTGCAGTCCCGCCGTCAGCTGACGGCGGCGTGTCTGTCGTGACAGCGTCCCCGGGGAGCCCCGTCACCGACGTCGTCGTCCTGTCCGCGGGCTCGTGGCAGTCCGTCACGAACTGGCGCGGTCGCTTCATGGGGGCGAAGCCGAAGGGCGAGAAGATGACTGACTCGACTCGACGCCGCAGGGCGGCTGAAGAGGCGCAGCGCGCCCGGAAGGAGGCGGCGGATGCCGAGAACGCGAGGCGGAAGGAGATCACGGCGCATCGGGTCGACGTCGGTGAGGAGATGGCTGACGAGGGCGGGGACGAGGGCGGTGTCAGTCACATGTCACTTGACTGAGGCGCACGCGCAGTGGGCGAGCACGACGACGACGATGACGGGCTGTGGGTTCGGTGCGGGTGTGGCTGCCCCCTGCACCCACCGGGAGTCGCATTGCCCCTCCCCGGAATGTGACGTCGCCCGTGCACGCGGACCTCGATCTGTGAGCCCACCACGTCCCCCGGCGAGCCGTCTACACCGCAGTCCGCGCCGTCGATCGCGACGCGGTCGCGCTGCATGTCTTCGTTGTAGGCGCGCCAGTCGACGCCAGGCAAGTGGGTCGCTCGGAGCTCGCCGCCCGAGGCACGCCTGCGTTGACCACTGCGCGCATGCCGAGCGCCCGGGAGACGCGGCCAGGGCGCGCCCGCGCGGCGAAGCTGGAGATGTACGCGCATGCACGTGCGCGGCGGCTGCAAGTACAGCTCGTTCGTCTCAACTGCGCAGCAGATGCCAGCGAGACGCATCCGCGCGCACGGCCACAGCAACAGTGCGCCCCGGGGCGGCCTGGCACCCCACCCGCCCCCAAAGGCCAGCAGTGCCTCATAGCTAGCAGGGGCCCCGGATGTGCAACCGCAGAACTCGTCGACGGACGGGAGGCGTGTGACTCGCAGCGAGGCGCGTGATTCGGTCAGCGCACAAGTCGGATCGCATGTGGCGCGTCTCAGTCAAGACGCCGCACAAATGGCGTGCACGTACGTGCACGCGTGCACGCAGTGAGTTGCTGGCAGTGCACGCTGCCGCCGTGGGTGCAGCGGGCTACTTCGCCGCGTCCGACTTCGGCCCCGTCCCGCCGCGCCGCACAGGAGGGGGGTCGTCAGTCCCGAGCTCCGGGCTCACTGCGCCGACGGCAGGGTCTTGAGTCAGTGAGGCCCGACAGAGGGACGGTCCCGGACCTCCGCGGTGCGCTGCCGCAGATTGCCAGCGCCGCGCCGGCGAAGACAGCGAGTTCGTCCGGCCATAGCGCCAGTCGTGCGGCGAGATCCGGGGCCGCGAACAGGCCCGTGGGCGAAGAGAAGCGGGAAGCAGAGAAGCAGGCGCGAATCGTGTGGCGGGCATGCGTCTCCCCGGCCACGTCCTGAGGCGGTCTCGCCGCCGGGGAGGTCTGAGAGGCAGCAGCGACGCGGGAGCGGTGCGTACGAGCGGGCTCGCCCCCTCCCCCTGCCTGGCCAGAAGATGCACCCTCGTTTCCGCGCGGCCCCGGGCAGGGTCGGCCGTGTGTGCCGCAGACTCGCATGCTCTCGAGTTCCCCATGCGCCCTGCCTGGATGGCGCGGCGCGTCGCGCAGCGCCTTGAACACGGCCCGGCCCCCTGCTGAGTGGTCTGCAGACCGAGGCGTCGACGGCCGCGCCGGGGATGCGTCTGCGTTCCGGAGTCACCCTGGAGACCGCTGAGAACGAGGTCGCACCACAGCGTCCCCGCAAGGTGCGGTCCGGGCGCTGGACGCGCGCAGCAGCGACTGCGCACGGTCCTCGCTCGCCGTTGCGCCGTGCCCAGCGACGCTTCCGCACGACGGACCCGTTTCGTCGGCCACACATCACGCGTGCACGCCGAGGAACCGCGCGAGACGCCGTGGCGCGCGCCCAGGCGCCTCGTGCGGGCGCCCTGCATGGCCACGCCGCATCCAGACCTCGTTCCGCCCCGCGCGCGCTGCCGGCATGGTCGCTCGTGCTGCACGCCGCCGGAACATGTCACGCATGTCTGTCGGGCCAGGGTGGTTCACCGCCAGGGCCGCTCGGTAGCCAGTTTTGGAGCCCCCGTCACTGGGCGGCCCACTCCCGCGTCCTCGCAGGCGCAGCACATGAAGGCGTGCGGCCGTTTGGGCTGCCCGAGCTTGAGCCCGAATCCGGCCAGCACGTGCGAGGCGTGCGGCTGGGAGTTCTTCGCTCCCAGGCGCCGGGTCCCGGCCCCCGCTGCGCAGCGCCTGGCGGCACAGGCGGCGACGCTGGCCCGCATGCTGCGCGCGGTGTCGTCGCACGAGCGCCTGGCGACCCTGCCGTTCTCGCCCTCGAGTCTCAGCGTGGCGAAGCCCGTGTTGATAGCGAGACGGCTGCTGGAGGGCGTCCAAGGCGCTCGCCGGCGCTCCCGGTTCTCGCTGCGCGACGCGGTGGGGCTCGTGCGCCACCAGCGCGACGGGACGATTCTTCACGTCCCCGGCGACGACGAAGCTGTCGCAAGGTACCTCGCGCGCCACGCCGCGATCGTGCGGGCGGTGTTCGAGGTGCGCGGCGTACCCGGCGACGCGCCCCTGGTCAAGGCGCTCGAGGACTTTGCGCGGGAGCGCGGCATCAGGACGGACACATTGCTGCCGCTGCGGCGTGGCGCTTCAGCGCGGAGCTGGGACGGCCCGCGGCTGCCGGGGACGCGGGTGGTGCGCGACATCATGGACGGCCATCTGTGCCGACTGGACCTGGTGGGCTGCGCGCGTGGCGGGGGCGGGGCCGCAGCCGGCGGCGCGATGGTCGATCCACTGCCGGGGTCGCCGTCGGCGGGCGCGGCGCCTCCGCGCGACGTTCCCGCCGTGCCGCGCACACGTCGCGACGGAGTCGCGTCGACAGGAGGTGCGGGGGCCGGGCGGGACCTGAAGGCCAGCTGCGGCGCCGCGGTGCGGTGTCGTGCGCCGCGCACGGACGGCAGCGGCGGCCGGGAGCACGTCGTCGGCGTCGTGCAGTGCATGTGGCGGGAGGACGCTGGCGGGGACGCGGGCGGGGAGGGCGCGAGGCCCGGAGCTGGCGCAGGAGGTCGCACGATGGCGCAGCTTCGTCGTCTCGTGCGCGGAGAGGAGACGGTCCTCAGGGGCGCGGCGGCGTCGGACGAGGTGTTCCTCACCCAGGATGTGGTGACGGTCTGCCTGGTGCGATGCGGCGCCCGTGACGCGCGAGCAGCGGGTCGCCGCTAGCTCATCCTGTTGGTCGGAACCGCGTGCGCGAACGGACCCGCACGCGTTCCCGCCAGGTGTTCACCTGCTTTCCTCCCTCGAATGACGACGGTGCAGGACGACAACGTGGAGCTGCTTCGTCTGGCGCGGGGCCCCGACTGGGCGATGGCGGCGTCGCGGCCGCGCCGCCGCCAGGGCGCCGTGGTGCGGCGCACGCGGCAGGCGCTGCGCCTGCGCTACGCGTACGTCGCCCGCTGCGGCGCGTTCCAGGACCTGCCGACGCGCGACGACATGCGGTTCGGGGAGAGGCTGCCCCTCCGTGACGAGGACTCGGCCGAACGGCCAGGCGCAGCCCCCCCGGAGGTGCACCTCCGGGACGCAGCGCCGCCCGTCGCCACCGGCAGCACGCCCGGGCGGCTGCGCGCCCTGCACGCGTTCTCGGGCTGCGGAGGGCTGTCCGCGGGCCTCCAGGCGTCCGGGGCCGTGGAGACGCGCTGGGCCATCGAGCGCGACGCCCCCGCCGCCGCGTCGTTCCAGGCCAACTTCCCGGGCGCGGCCGTGATCCGGGCGGACTGCGCCGACGTGCTCCGGCGCATCTGCTCCGTGACCGTCGGCCAGGACCGCCGGCCCGACGGCGACGCCTCCGACGCGACGCCGTGGCATCTCCTGCCCCGCAGGGGGGAGGTCGACCTGCTCTGCGGCGGCCCGCCGTGCCAGGGGTACTCGCCGCTCAATCGGCACCCCGACAGCGAGTGCGCGCGTCGCAACAACGCGGCAACCACCCTCTTTCTGTCGCTCTGCGAGGCGCTGGACCCCACATTCGTCGTCATGGAGAACGTGCCCGCCCTGGCCGCGCACGCCGACGGTCGCACGCTCGGCAAGGTGCTGCGCGTGTTCGTCGAGCTGGGCTACCAGGTGCGCTTCGGGGTGCTGCCCGCGAGCGCGTACGGCGCCCCCCAGCGCCGCGAGCGGCTGGTGGTGCTGGCGGCGCGCAGCGGCCGGGCGCGGCTCCCCGCGTGGCCCGCCCCGCGCCACGCGTTCCGGTCGGGCGGACTGACCCTCTTCCGCGGCCAGCGCGACATCGCGTGCACCGCCGTGACCGCCGACGCGGGCCTCGCGGCGCCCTTCACGGTGCGCGACGCCATCGGCGACCTGCCCGGGGCCCAGGGCGGCGACTACGAGGACGGCCCGAGGAACGCCTTCCAGCAGCTCGCGCGCGAGGGGAGCCAGCGGCTGCGAGACCACGTGTCGCGGTCGCTGGCCCGGGAGGCCCTGGAGGACCAGCTCGCGGAGATGGGCGACGACACCTCGGGCGACGGCGACGTCGCGGGTCTGCTCGACCTGGTCGACGACGGCGACGACGGCGGCAGCAGCGGGGAGGCCGGGCGGCGCGCGGACCTCGACCGGTTCCGCGTCGACCCCGACGCGCCCGCGCACACCCTCACGACGGACCCGCGCACCTCGGCCACCGTCTGCCGGGTCGTGCACTACGCGCTGGATCGCATCCTCACCGTGCGGGAGTACGCGCGGCTGCAGGGCTTCCCGGACACCTTCCGGTTCTGCGGCACCCTGGCGCAGTGCTACCGCCAGGTGGGCAACGCGGTCCCCGTGCCCCTGGCGCGCGCCCTCGGCGCGTGCCTTGGCGTGTGCGCCGCTGCGCGGCTGCGGGCGGCACGCGACGGCGGGAACGCGACAGCGGATGGCGCCTGCCCTGCGAGACCCGGCCTGTGAGTCCTGCGAGTCTGCAATGTGTCACGGGGGACGCACGGATACGGACGACTTCGACGTCATGCATGATGATCGTGCGCACCTCGCGTCGCCCGCTGCTCGGGCCGCGCCTGGAAGCACACGCTGAGCAGCGGACCCGCGCGGTGGTCGTCAGAGTCTCACCCGCGCAAGCACGCTCTGACGGCGACGAGGACGGCTGCGGCCGGCACGAATCCTCGCGCAGCGACGGGCGTGCCGGCAGTCGGGGGTATGTGTCCGAGACTGAGACTTACATGACAGGCAGGACAGGGGCTTGTGGGTGCTGTCCGTTGCACCGCGAATGCTCCGGGTGCTCGATATTCAGCGCGCGGAGACCGAGGACGACGCGGGCGTGGGAGCTGTGCTCCTCCCGCCGCGCCCCGCGACCCCGGGGGTATCGGAGCGGGGGAGCGACGGCGAGCGGTGCGCGCGGACGCAGCGTAGTCCGTGCACGCCCCGATCGGGCGCGACGACTCGCGCGGCCATGCCTCGACGTGCGGCGGGGTCGACGTCACGGTGAGGGCGGGGCTGCGCAGGAGGGGCTGGGCGCCCCCTCCCTTTCTGTCGCTGGCCCCTGTGAGGCAGTGGGCTGTCGTCACACGTCGAGGCCACGCGGCCGTTGTTTGCATGCCAGTGTCACGACTCGTAGCAGTCCCTCCCCACGGGCAGGCCCATGAACAGCGCGAGGCTCTGCCGCCGAGGTTTGGCGCGGGTCGTGGGCCGCCTGAGGTCCGCGACGGCGTGCTCGAGCCCGCCGGGCTGGCACACGACGTCGCCCGGCCGCAGCACCAGCCCCCACACCTCCTCCGGCTCGGCCCCGCCGATGGGCCGAATGCGGAGGTCAGAGGCTCCCTTCTCCGGAGCGCCCCGCGCGCGCTCGACGGGCAGCCGCTGCAGTCGGCCCCCCTCCTGGGGCTGAAGGTCGTGGTCGTAGTTGAACAGGAGCTCGCAACCCTCCCAGTCCTCGCCCTGCAGCGCCGGCAGCACCGTCAGCAGGGTCCACGTGCTTGCGTCGGTGTGCGCGCCGAGTCCCGAGCCGCGGTCGGCGCCGCTCGCCGCGTGGTAGTCCAGGAGAAACCCGTCGAGCGGCCGGTCGGCTTGCAGGAACTCCGGCGCACCCACGTGGCGCAGGTAGGGATCGATGACGGTCTCCCGCACCTCGGCGAGGTAGTTGTCGATGGCGCCGAGGACGAGCCGCAGCGTGTCTTCGACGTGCTGGCCCTCGCCACGCGCCAGGGCTCGCCGGGCCCCCCTCAGCTTCCTCTTCACCTCGTCGGGTGTGATGCGCCTCGCGGCGCGGTGGGTAGTCAGGAAGCGGTGACTCCCGCTCGAATCCTTGTCGACCGTCTGGAGGCCCCGCGCTGCCTCGATGAGGTGCGGCGTGAAGTGCTTGTCCACCACCCTGCGCAGGCGTCCCGGCAAGCCCGTCGCGGCGGCGCGGGCCGGCGTCTCGAGCAGACCATGGTGGATGACCAGAGGGGCCCGGAAGCCCTGCAGGACGTAGCACTCCACGTGACCTTGCCATCCAGGGATGACTGGCACCTGGAACCGCCCCGGGTGCGCGCGCGGCTGCAGGACGCGCGCCCGGAAGCCCCCGTTCGCGCCGTACCACTCGAGGGCGCGCAGGAGCCTCTGTCCGTCCGCGTTCTCGCGCATCCCCTTCACCTCCACGTTTGCCGCCTTGTATACGGCGCGTATCCCCTGCCTCGACCGTGGTTGCCATACCTCGTCGCGCAGAAACGCGGCCTCGGGGCTGCACCCGAAGTGGTGCAGGTATGCAAGCACCGCCTTGGCGACGGTGGCGTTCGGCAGCTGCGCCCGCGGCGGCTCCGGCTGCAGGTTGGTGTTGCGAGCGACTTCGAGGTGCCGCTTGCACAGCCGCACGTCGTCGCGGCCGTCGACCAGCTGGTACGTAGTGGTGCAGTGGCACTCCCGGGCCTTGCCTCTGCCGTGATGCCGACGGTTGTCGCACAGCCGCAGTCCCGACTTCGGGCAGATTCTACCGACCCGTCGTTTGCCACTCGCATCGCGCCGGGCTGGCCCCGCTCGATGGCGTTGCCGTAGCGGCGAGCCTGCAGGGAGGAGGAGCAGGTGCACGCTCGTGAGGCGCCGACGCGGGCAGGGGGGCGGTTCGCGGGCGGCCATCGGGTCGGAGGCGGAATTCCTGCCAGACGGTGTGCACCTCCGGGAGGTAGACACCGGCGGAACGTGCCCCGGTGCGGCGCAGGGCGCTGCGGAAGCCTGGCAAGATGCCGCCCAGCCAGAGCTCGGGGCGGGCCGGGGGGCGCACCGGGCGGGCTTCTGGGCTTGATTTTGGCCCGGGAGGGCCGGTCAGATCCCATGTTATCGGAGACCGCGGGCCGCCTGTGCCCGGGCCGCGCTGCGAGCGCGCCTCTTCGCCCAGGACTGCACCGACGGGAGTCCTCTCGCGCTGGGGACTCCCCCGCCAGGTGCGACGTGCACACTGCGGTCCGCTGCGAGGCGATGTGGCCCACCGGGGTGCGTGCGCGAGGAGCTCGGACGTCCTTGGTGGTGGCGTCGGGCTGCACGGGTCGCTGTCAGAGTCAGTGGCCGGCGATGCGGGTTCGCGGACGTGGCGCGCGCCAGCGGTCGCGAGGCTCGCACGCACACGACGGCGACGTCGGCGGCGCCTTCACACTCCCGGGAGGGGCGGCGCGACCCTGACTGTGTGACCCCGCCGGGCTTCGACGCGGCCCAAGACCTGGTAGAAGTGCCGGACTTCGACAACGAGGCTTGACTCGCCCTCCCCCACCACCGCCCCGGCCGGCAGCCCCCCGCCGCAGCCGCGCGCCTCGCGCGGGCGGCGGTCTGCGGCCCGCTGCCCGCCGCGGTGAGGCCACGTGGCGTGCACGCCGGCCCCGCTCGCGCGCGCGGCCGCACCGGGAGGACAATTTCGCCCACCCCCCTCGCTCCGCGCACCCCGCTCTCATCGCCGCGCCTCCGCCGCATACGGCCGCGCTCTCTGGCGGACGCGCGAGCAGTGCCTGCGCGAGCAGTGCACGTGACGGCCTGGTGCTAGAGCTCCGCAGCACGCGCGGCGCCGGCGCCGCAGCGACCAGATGCGCGCGCACCGCTGGGCTCTGAGCGGGGCTCGGCCACGGGCACACCTCACCTCGCGCGACATGGCGTCGTGAGCGCATGACACATGTACATATATATGCATTCTCTGTCCCGTGATCGCGTTGCATGCGCGCCCCGCCGGAGTCGGGATCGGTCCGCCGGGGTGCGCGACGATCGTGACGGCGATGCGCGGCGCGTGGCACGGCCGCCCAGGACCGCGAGGCCGCGGGCGCGGGGTTGGGGGTCCTGGGGGGCGAGGACCCACAAGGGTCCCGCGGGAGCGCGGCTCGGGGCCCGGACGCGCGCTCTCTCATGCGGACGGTCGCGAAACCGTGTCTAGCGACGAACGGGACGGGTCAGGCGCGGCGCGGGAGCGCTCGCTGTCCGCGGGCGCGAGGGGGCCACGGACAGTGCGACCGGCGCGGGTCGCCCACGGGCGGCTCGCCGGTCGCGTCCACGTCGTCGCCGCGCACGTGTCTCGGGCCGTCCCGCCGCGTCCGCCTCGGCTTCACAAACAGATAGGTGCTGAGGTTGTAATTCAGTGATCCAGCAGTCGAGGCTGAATACGCGCACGGTGCGCGTGCCTCAGTGCGTCGCCCCCGCGCGGCGCCGCCCCGCGCGTGTGCGCTGGTCCGCCGCGGGGTGCGCCGTCAGGCTCTGCGACGCGCGGGCGGTGGGCGATGCGGGAGTGTCGTTGTCGGTGTCGCGAGCGGCGAGCGGCGAGCGCGATCCGACAGCGCAGCGAGATGGAGCGCGCAGCGCGTGCGTCCGCGGGGCGACGGGGCTTGCACTCGTGGACGTGAGCGGGCGTCGCACCTGTCTGACGGCACCTCGGACGGCGCGGCTCCGCCCCCGCGCCTCGCCCCCCACGGCCGGCTCGTTGCCCTTCGCCCCCCACGGGCTCCCGGTGCGCGCTCGGCGCCCTGCGGCCGCGCGAGCGCACAGCAGGTGCAGCAGGCCTCGCTCCTCTCGCACATGTGCCTGCGGGCCGCGCACGGCCCGAGGCGCTGCACGGGGCGGCGAGCGCGCGCCGACAAGCGCTGGCGACACCCTCTGCGTCCGCCGGCTGCTCTCTGCGGGGACCGCCACGCCCGCCCCGTCGTCGCGCGCCGGGAGCCGCCAGCCCACCACCACGTCGCGTGCTCGCCGTCGCTCGAGGCGGGCAGGCCGCTGCGGTGGGGGCCGAAGAACGGATCGCGTGTGTGAGCGGAAGCGCGCGTCCCGGCTGCGGCGGACGCAGCTGGGCAGCAGCGCAGGCGACGCGCTCCGCACGGCCCGTGCGCGCCCCCTTCCGGGACCGGGACCGAGCCGCGAGCATGCAAACCCCGTCGGTGCGGCGAAGCGTGCGAGCGAGGGCCTCACGGCGTCCCGGGCGCCCCCCGGCGACCGGGACCTTGGCAGCATGGGCGGAGAAACGGGGCCGCACGGGGCGCCTGGAGCGCGGGGCGCCCGGGCGCGGACGCGGCAGCGCCCGCGGCGACGGCGACGTCCCGGCTCGACGCGCGAGGGCGGGGCGCACGCACCGTCCGCGGGCAGGTCCCCGCCCTTGGCCCACGCCGCAGCTGCGCCCTCACGCCCGCGCCGCTCCTGGCGCGGAGGGCGGCCCGCAGCGACCTCCGACGATCGCACGGAACGACACACCTCGAACAGCTCCGCGGTCCGCCCTCCACTCCCGCGGATGCGGCCCCAGCGGCCCGTCGGGGCGTGCCATGCCCATGAAGACCGCGCCCCGGCGCCGCACCGGCGGCATGCGGGCGCGCTGTCGCACCCGGACGCGCCAATGGGCCCCGCTCTACGTCGCGGCCCCCTCGCGCGGCGCCCGGACTCCCGGGGCGGCCGCGGGGTGCCGTTTGCAGCCCGCTGGAGTTCGACGGGGCGGCTCCAGACCGGATCCCCGACAGCAG